TATTCTCTTATCGTTCTGCAGGAAAACTCAGCAAACCAGCACTTCTGGGGAAAGGATTTCATTCCTATCTAGAATTTTGATCGAAATTATGTTGGTTGCAAGAGTGCATCATGTTCTTGCAGCTCTATTTACATCATCATTAATTTCTATACATACATGATGCCACTTACAGTCTAACTAAAATTGTGTTCAAAGCAAACTTGGAAAGTAGTCCTTGTTTGCTAGTCTAAGGAGGCTTCACATTTTATCAATAATATGTATTGCAAATCAAACATGGCAACTATATTCAATGCGTTTCATGTCCAAACCGAGTTCAACTTTAACCGATTGTATTTCCTTATGCATGTTGCATTAAACGGACAAATGCAGAAGCCCACAATTAACATTGCTAGGTGAAATCAAAACCACATTCAACTTCTAAAGGGTTATGTTCCTTGTCTAACTCCATGTGATTTTAACCAAGCACGAATTCAGCCAAAACACTAAGGGGCAAGTGTGTCAACAGCATGGTTCTGATCCTTCCTGGGCAAGACCATGCAGACGATTGCGGCATTGATCAGCATTTGTCAGATCATTGTTCCCCCCTCAACATCAAGTTGAACTGGGCAGTGTACGTATTTTCTCCACACAAAAAGACGGGGTTCAAACTGGGCACTTCCTGAATTCATCAAGTAGGTCCTCCATATATGAGTTCCAGGCATTGTGTTTGAGAAAAGTAAAGTTTTTGTGGGCTGGATCCAAGATTTCCAAGAGGCTTTCTTTAAAACCTTGGATCTTGAGTTTTCTGAGGGTGGCTTGAATCCAAGATTTCCAAAACTGTTTTTTGTGCAATCTTGGCTCTTGGATCTTGGACCCGGCCAAAGACGCTCCACAGTCATAGAGGCCCTTCTCGTGCGATCTAGGAGGCGCTCAGTTTGACCCAGAATTTCGACGGGCAAAAAATGAGCAAGCATATACACACACCTACCACGGCTCCTCCCATCGCGCGAGGTGCGGGAGTCTCTGGTAGCCATCGTGGGCCGCGACGCGCCGCAGGCACTAAAAACGGGATGGCCCAGCTTCTTTTCAGTGCCCTTGATTGGGTGCTATGAGCCATGTTGAAAATAAGGGCACTTAGTCCTAAATCAAACAGGTCACTTAAGCCTTCATTGGAGGGCACTAAAAATATGCTGGGCAATTTTTTCAAATTTGCCAATCCAAGCTTAATTCAGGGGAACCAAAAGAAAAGTCCTTGACTGTCCCTGGTCGCTGATGGTCACTTCGGCTGCGTCCAAGCCGTGTGGGCATTTTGCTGGCATTTTCTCATCTCGCAGCCCAGACTACCCGTCAGAGGCCCTTCTTGTGCTTTAGGGAACGCGCTGCCATTCTCGGAGGTCACGCTGTTTTTCCCTTATGCTGGCCAGTAGCGCTTCGCTGCTGGTGCGGGTGGCGGGCCTGACTAGGCAGCTGCTCTGAGCCTGAGGGGAGCTTGGCCCTCGTTCGTTCACTTATTCCCTCGTTCGCTCGCTCGCTTAGAGCCGATGAAGCCAAGGAGGCAAGTGTGTTCGCTGTAATTACAGCAGAATCGATCGTTGGTGATGACGGCACTCAAATCTACGGCTTGCGCCCAAAAATGTCAAAAGCCAGCTATGCCAGACGTTCCACGTGTGTGGAGTGCCGCATCTGCTGCAGCCGCTGGAAATGCTCGTTGCCGCTGGGCACTTGGATGCATGGCTGAGCAGCCGCATGAACTCCATCGCTGCCTGCAACTCGATCTTTCGACATGCGAATTTCGTGCTTTCCGCACGCCCGTCGTGCAAATGCTGTCTCGTTCCTTGCATTCTGCCGTTCTTGACACGCTTGCTTCCGTTGTCATTCTTGCCGCAAATCCGTCGCTTTCTCTGACTTTCGCACAACCTTTTGCAGACATGGCCTTAGTTTGGTTTTGCTGCGCGTTCCCTCACATTTGCAGCGACACGTTGCATTTGTTCGACCGCGTGCACGCGATGCTTGTGCTTCCTTTCAGTCAGCATCTGCATGTTTCTTTGCACGGGCCTCGCGAAGTCCAGAGCATTGCCCGATTTTTTTACTGCGCGTTCGCCCCCAGACTTATGGACTGGGCCCCAGTGCGTGTCTGGCGAGGTCCGTGCTTTTCCACTTGGACATCTCTGAAGGTTGTCCAGCTGACATGGGCAGAAGGACCTCCTCGATTGTAGCCTTGATGTCACATGGCTCGGAATCAGTACATGACTCGGACCAAAGACTGGTGAGCATTCGGGAGTATTCTGTCAAAATTACAACGGGCTGCGTCAGATACTGGTACAGTGACTAAACGTACAATCCCAAGAGGATGATCAATCAAGGCCACCTGTGTTTTGCCAGAGCCATGTCCTTTTTCTACATCTTTTGTGCACAAAGTGAGCAGCGAGAGACATCTTATGATCTTATGCAGTTTCATTTGGTTGACTGAAACATGTTAGTTTGTCGTATTTGTGTTTGTCTTCCTTCGGCAGTGCAGGCGGATGAGGAGATGGATGATTCGATCATGTCCTTCCAAGAATGGAAGAAGTCTAGCAGGCATGCCTGAACACTCAGAAGGAGTGACTGCAAAGCAGGCACCCGCCGCGGATCGAAAGAAACACAGGCAAACTAGACCTCTGAGTTTATTTGGGTGTGACATCATCCTCCTAAACGGTTGTTGAAAGGACCCCGCCCCCCCAAAAAACACAAATCAACCAAACAAGAAGCCATTTTGAGAACCTCTCAACATGTTTGTTTTGCGGGATCCAGTGTTTTGAACGATCAAAAGCAATGGTGGTCAGGAATTCAGGAATCTAGCAGGGCACATCATGTTTGTTTGTCAGTCCACTGCTCATGTTGTGAAGTGTCCAACAAGTTCATGCAATCACTCATTGTGAGTGAGTGCTGTTGAGTGCTGCTTTCCCTCCTGGTATGCGCATCTCGCACTTGTTTTGTGCGGGTACCCTTGTGTTGTTGTTTGAGTGGATAACCCCCCCCCCCCATTCTGTTGAGACATACCCATTATAGGCTTGAAGAGTTAAGACAACTCGGATGTGAACGAGCGACGATCAAAGACCTACCAGTTTTGGCTAGGTAGGGATGGTCATGGATCTCTGACAGATGGGAAGACAACTATTCCAAGGGTTCCTGTGGGAGCGACCATGGCCCACACAATGAGTCCTAACCACTGCGCAAATGGCTGGGACCCCTGTGACTGACCTAATTTGAATTGGAATGTATGTCTACCAGTGTTGTTTGGATGTAACTGTCAAACTCCAGTACGCCATTTGGGTGGACCTTCTTGTGGCAAACCAAAGAAACCAAAGTGAACCGAACCGAAGCCCCACCTTGGGGGCAAACTATCTCCCAGTAGGTGTGGTTTGCCAATTCCTCATTCACTCCGTGGAAAGCAAAGGGCCACATGTTTTAATCCAGACGACCAGGTTGAAAGTCATTGCCAGTCAACTGAGCAGGTCAGTAGCGCACCGCGTTGTTTGACCTCGCGGTGAACAACTACATTGTGCTTTTTGCTGGTTTTGTTGGAACTTGATTCAGCATCGACTCTGATTGTAAGAACATAAAAGGACATCCGGCTGGTATGCCGGTCAGTCTGTCACAGCAAACCGCATTGCTAATTGTTCCCTCAGTTCTTACAGTCAAGCTAATAAAGGCAGCCAGGTATGACAACCTCCAGGTTTTACGTCATAGTTTCGCCTGGGTACCTAGTCGAAGCACTGGGTTACCTTTTGGAAAGGACAGCTGGGGATCGAGGTTCCTTTTGGAATTAGATATGTTGACGTCCAGTTGGACCCAGGCAACCCACCTGGCGGGGGCTTAGCAGATGGACAATACCTCCCTTCCACATATGGAAGCTGAAAACCTCTCGTTTGTGGTTTGAGGGAAATCCATTTCGGGCTGGGTGTTTTGCACAGGGCAGTTGTGATTTCAAGCACACGGCCAGAGGATTTCAAGCACCCGGCCAGAGGGCCTGCCTGCAGGTCCCCCAAGGCAAAATGCCAGGTCCAATCCCAAGTTCCTGCACTTGATCTAAGACCATACTGGTATTTAGTGGTAAACATGGTAGAAAGTTGTTTGGCCCATCAAGTGAGTACTAGGTGGGCCCGGGTTTTGGTTGAGCCATCGGTTTTGCAAAGATGACGAGACGTTTTCAATGTCATTTGAATCAGTGATAGAATCATTCCGCAAATCTAACCCTGGGGCCCCAATTATCCAATGTGCTTTAGGGGACAATGGTTTTATTTCCCCGCCCAAAGCAAACAAATGATGGCCAGGGTGCGGACTCTAAGGGCCTAAATTGTTAGAGTTGGTTTTGTGGGCGGGTGAGGGTAAGTGGGATTTCACTACCAAGCTAGGACATGATCATCAGACAAAACTTATGCGTGTAAGATTTCTGCCCCTTATATTAGATGTGTTTGCGGGTTGAAGATGCTACAGTCTTTCCGCAAGCTGACTCTTCTGAAGCTGCCCGAGATGGGGCACCAATCTATCTCCCGGATGGATCATGAACTCTCACCAAAGCCTGCCAGGTATGGTCACGCTCTTTGATCATCCATTTTGTTCGAGGATCCTTCTTTTCAGAAGATTGCGCAAAACCCCAGGGGAAATGTGTGGTTTCTGAACAGACAGATGGACAAAGATAGTGGGATCCGATGCCAGAAGCCCTTAGCCGTCATTAATCAACTCACGATAGACTTGAGTCGGATTGGGTTGGCATGGCCCTTTTAACTGTTAAACTAGCTAGCTCCTGCAACAGGAGATTTCTCTACACTCTATGCTCCCTTCAAGCATCACCCCACACCAAGGACAATAGGGGCACCCCATCCTTTTGGTTGTTTTTTTTTGAAGAGGGGGTACCCTCAAAAAACAAACCCAAATGGCTGTGAATTTTGATGGGGGACCCTTTGGTGAACATCATGGTGGGATTCATGTTCGCTAGTCACTTTTGAGGGGGTTCCCTTTGACAATTCATATGCAAAGATAGAACCCTCCGCGCGAAGAGCCAGATGTGCCTCCGGCGGCCATGGCTGCGGCTATCGGTCGGACTCAGTTCCCCGCGGCCGCCGCCACAGCGTTTTCCGCCGGCTCCGCCGTCGCCACTTGGACGGCGAGCCGGCAGTTTGGGTTGGGCCGGGAGTTGATTTGGAACCTGTTGACCATTAGCTTTATTTTAGTACCACTTTAGAGGAAACAAGCAAATACCTGCTGTTTGGACTTGTTTGGGCCAATTCGCTCACTTCCTTTCAGTGAGTTCCATTCTTGGTCGCCTTGATGTCCTGGTCCGAAACCGGCACTTGATGCTGCGAGTTCCACATGGGCAAATCAGAATCCACAGAGTTAGGGATGTTCATCCGTGGGTCAACGTTTGGCCAAATCCAACATGCGCTTTTCTGAAAAGTAATGGTTGGCATTTTTTAAATCCTACCAGCACCCCCGGCCCCCAACCACTGAGATGCTTGCCCTTGCCAAACAATGAAACAGTCCTTTGGCTCTCTCACTGCAACCCCTAAATGAGCACCGGCGCTCACATGAGTGGTTTGAGCGCGTCACTTTGGACCAGGTTTTTCCCTGCCATCCAAAAGCAATCCGCCAAAAAGAAACGCCGCACGCCTGCTTAGGACACCTGTGCCGGGACCGCCGCCCCGGTTTGATGCCTCGATGCTTCCCCCAGCACCGGCACCGGAAAGGTCGGCATCCAGGCGGGTCCTTTGAAGAAAGACTTCCTCCTCGAGTTTCTGGACTTGATACTTTTTGGGACAACCATTTTGGTGGCAAACAATGACTTTGGACTGCTTTGGACCAGTCCACTCAGAGAGTGAATTGGGCAAGGTTCCCATCCCGGTGATCACCTTTCATTGAGCTCGCTTTACCCACAACGCGAGTGGGCAGATCAGCTGGCCAACACAGTGAGTTGCCTCCTTCTTCTGGTTTCATCTCCCGGTCCTTCTCGCACCTTAAAGTGACATGGAGGGATTCCGAGACTACTTTTGGACATGGTTTCCCTTGAGCCACCATTTAGCTCAAGTAGTTGTTAACCAGATCAAAGCACACTCCCCATTGCACACATTCACATTTTGCTGTTTATCTTCCCCCCCCCCCGCCACACAACAAAAATGGGACGTTGGGCCGATAAAACAGATCACCTTTTGTTTGCATGTTTGGGGGAATTCATTTCCAGATCAAGCCTGTGTTCCGTCGCTTCGCGACACTTCTCTAACCTAGACGCCTGCGGTCGAAGGGTATCGACGGATTTTGAGGAATTTCTTACCAAAATGGACCCGTCCTTTCCGTGTGAGGACACCTGTGCCGGGACCGCCGCCCCGGTTTGATGCCTCGATGCTTCCCCCAGCACCGGCACCGGAAAGGTCGGCATCGAGGCGGGTCCTTTGAAGAAAGACTTCCTCCTCGAGTTTCTGGACTTGATACTTTTTGGGACAACCATTTTGGTGGCAAACAATGAGTTTGGACTGCTTTGGACCAATCCACTCAGAGAGTGAATTGGTCAAGGTTCCCATCCCGGTGATCACCTTTCATTGAGCTCGCTTTACCCACACTCCTTTTTGAGGGTGCCCTACGTTTGGCGGTTGGGAAACAAAAAGGAAACCACCCATGTTGGGGGGTTCACTCCAAAATAGCAAACCCCACATGGGTTTCACCTCGTTAGCGTGGCCCAAGGAAGCTCAGGTTTTTTGCGCCGAACGGTCCAGGTTTCCGCCTCCGGCACCTCCGGCACCTCCCGTTCCTGCCCCGGCGGATGCGGGATCGCGGGGTTCACCGACCCTGAAGCCGGGCGGCTTGGCGATTCTTGGCATGTGTTTTGCGTTGTTGGTTGTTTTGTTTCTGCTCAGTTGAGTGGGGGTTGCAAAAAACATGAGCGGCTTCATTTACAGAAGATAGTAAAGGCTGGGCAGAAGCATTTGTTGGGAGCAGTAATTAACATAGTGAATTAGGTGCAAACCGACGTAGGAACGCCCCCACAATGAGGTAGGGCCATGACACATGCTGTAGATGCTTGAGTTCACGGCGTTGGAAAACAAATTAGGTGAATGAGTCCAAACGGGTGCATGGTTGGAGAACAAGGCAGGACCATGTAGCAAATATCTGCCGAAGCTCAGATATTTATTGTCCAACACACCAAGGGTTGAACAGGTACATTAGACGTGCCTGAATCGCACCCTCAAGTCCAAGCCGTCTTGCTGGCCTTGAAGAAGGACCAGGGTTTGAGCGAAAGATGACTGAGGCCCGTTGGCTGTGGATGTTGACGAGGGAGCCACCGTTGAAGCAGTTGGTGGACAATCCCCACCGTTATGTCTTCCCCAACGGGCCGCCAATTGAAAGTCATGCCGAGTAGAAAATTGCGGGATTCCCTTTGGCTTGCCAGGACCAAGCTTCCATTGTGCCTTTCTTCGGTTTTTGATGACCAACACCAATTTGGGTGGAAAACAGGGTGAAGGGTTTCCTTGGGTTTTTACCTTGGTTTCCTAAATATGTGCCGATTGATGTGGTATTCGGAGCCCTGAGGAAGGCATGAGACGTGGTTTGGAGAGGCACTGGGAGCAAATCAAGAGGCTGCACCAGCAAGACGCCTTCACTCCGGCCGACATCGCCTGGCTTTTCGCCCAATGTCGAGCCTTGCCTATGGATTTTGAGCCTCATCAGGAGTAAAACGAGCCCACAATGAAGGTCCTTTATTTGTGGATCCATCTCTTTTTTCATGTTTTGGAATTGCTGTAAAACATTGCAGATGTTGGAATCTGATTCAACGAAATCCTGTGATTAGAGACGCGCAAAGCGCCAACGGTTGGCAACGTCTTCGCCCAAAGGGTCCGTTGGTGCTTCCCAAGGATCAATTTTGACTCATGTTGACCCCCAAGATACATCCTCAAGGTATTTGCGACATGGATCTTGTAGCTCGGCCCTTTACTGGGCAGGCGCACCGAGCCTCAAAAAAGCATGGCGGCCGTTGAACCCCCAGGTCAGCTGAATGTAAGAATTGTGCTCTCTTCCGGGATATTTTTTCTTTGGTGTTTGAAGAGCACCTGTTGGGCCAATGTTGCTTCAATTTCTCTTTTGTGATCTTTAACATGGGCCCCTGTATTGACCAACGTTGTGTGCGTGTGTGCGTCTTTGAGGGCACCCCTTTGGTGTAGTGTTTAAAGGGACGCCAAAAGGAGACCGCCCATTTTTCAGCTTCCCTCTAATCAGTGGTTTGGTTGCCTGAATTGTGGGATCCAAATCCCTATTTTGACACATACCCCGATACCCTTGCCCGAGGATCCGTGCCTTCACTGCGCCGTGCCCAAATGCCGCGCTCCATCAACCGCCACGACGAGGATGAGGCAGATGTGCCGATCGGCACGCGCGTTGTGCAGCTCTTTACGAACTTTGTGTGTCTGAAGCTCAGACACTCAGTGCCTTTTTCCTTCCTTTGGAGGGTTTCCCTTTCAAGTCCCATGGCCAAAGAACAATCCTTGAAGATCCACTATAGTGGAAAGGGTGCCGCCGATTTTCCCGCTAGGAAGATCCCCGAGCTGACACCTGGCGAGATCACATGCGCCTTGAACAGACTGGTCGTACAAGTCACGGTACCGTGTTTTTGCCCAGGCTTGTCGGGGAACCCCAAATGTTTCCCTTCAAGTCCAAACAATAGGGGGTCCCCAACAACAACGCACCTTTGGAAAGTCAGAGAGGCCCATATGTGCCCCGTAGACAACTGGACATTTTGACCAAACCTGGCATGTGCCGCTTTCTGAGCACCCTTTTCCCTTGATATGGGGATGGCCATGAAGGGGGCGGCTTTGGTGGTGAGATAACAACGAATGGGTGGCCATGGAAGGAAACAACCAGAGGTCGAAAGCCCCCTTCCCAAGTTCCGTTGTTTTCCAGGCGTGTGGAACAAATTTCATGGCAGGAAGTCCCAAGTTCCAACATATCTTCGCGCTGGGCAATCTGAGAAGGCGATGTTTCCTACAGCAGGCACCCGCTTTGTTTTCCCGCTGGCTCTCCTCAATGAAAGGATATTGTCCCTACGGGTCCCTGACTTGAATTATGTTCCTCTCAAAGGCACCTTCTTCTGGTAATTTCCATGGCAACGTGGAGAGCGAGTTTGCATTTGGGGCTCACAATCAACCATCCAAGCTTAGTTGGCTCTCAGACACCCTGAAAGTCTTTGATAGGTAGGGGAACGGTCATGCTTCCGATTGGTTCAGGGTCGTACCCAAGAGCAACCAGTCCAACTGAGCAAAAAAGCGTGTGTGCCAGGGTCAACACTTAAGTGGTCACGGCTCCTTTTCGTGGGAACCTCTACATTGGTTCTCTGGCTGCCGCATAGGTGGCTTTGGTTTTCCCTTTCAACCCCAAAAAGGGCACGGAAAAGAGCACCCAAAACGTGTGGTGAGAAATGTGTGCCAACAGCGTCACACCCAATTGTTCCAGGGTTGGACTACCGTCACCAGGCACCCGACATCCTCTGCCCATCGTGGGATTGGTTTGCCTGACAATGGGGCCATCCACAAGAAACTTCAAGATGATTGGTGTCCTTTTGTTTTCGTTCAAAGATAACCAGCATATGTCCCTTCCAAGCCCACCAAAAGGGGGGGTTCCGACTCAAAGCCACGGCACGGCTCCAGAACCTTAGGCTTCGTCTCGGCCCTGACCTCTGCGGCGCTGCCCATGGACGAGTTTTGGCTCTTCATGATGGCCAAGCAGATCCAGGAGCGGAAAAATGAAAGAGACGCCTGGAAAAGAGCAAGGTTGGCCCCAGATCTAAGTAGAACCTGTCATAGAAAAGCCCCTCCAAGAGTGATGAACCTCCCGCTGAAAGGGGACACTCCCCAACCAAATCAAGCTAGGTTTCTTGCCCCGGAATTCCCATTGGGAGCTCTAGGTGCATGAGATTGGAGGATCAAAGGCAACCTCAGGGCTGTGGGAAGAGGTTTTCTCCCCTTCCGTGATTCCGCATTGCGTCTAAGCTGGCCGAGTGGCCTGGGCGAGGCATTGCCTCTGCACCTTGCAGGAAATGCTCCTGCCGCGCGGGCGCAGCAATGATGGTGGGTTGCTTTGTTGATTTGTCGTGCGCAGAATAGAATATGTGGGCCCCGCGCCTCTTTCGGGGATGCGTTTGTCATGCTTACCAGGATACATCCGAAAGTCACCAGGGATCCTTCAAATCAGCCGGTAACGGGCATGCGGGCGTGGCCAGCATGTATTCTTCCAGCCCTAGGGCTCATGGGAAACTCTCACTTTTGCCTCAAACCTTGGAATCTTGAAGATGAAGCCTATCATTCCAAATGGAAAGCTTTCTCTTTCCGCTTTCTTTAATGACAGGGAGCAACTGTGGAGTTCTCAAAACTCGGGGTTTTGCTTTTCTCAGGTCCAGTCAACCCCCCCAAAGCAAGAACGGATTCAGGGGCAATGTTCCCAACGAGCCTCATGCGGCCTCAACCATGCTTTCTGCTTTCAGGGTAGGTCTTGAATGGATCTCATATGAGTGTGTCTCAGATTCCCCAAACTAACCAACTACCTGTCCCTTCCTTTGAGAAGTTTGGTCGGGTAGGTCTTGAATGGATCTCATATGAGTGTGTCTCAGATTCCCCAAACTAACCAACTACCTGTCCCTTCCTTTAAGAAGTTTGGTTTAAGAAACAACCAATAGGAAAGGGGGTCCCCCTATTTTGACACATACCCATATGTGCGGTCAAAACACCCGTTCACTTGGGGTTACTACGGCTGCTCATCCTGGGAGCCGTGTCCTGCAGCTTTGAAAATACTTTTCTGAGCGGTCAATATCTGTCTATTTGTACAAATGGGGTTGTGCAAAAAAGGCACACTCCCCAGTAAGAGTTTTGGAAGTGGGGGGCTCATGCGGCCTTTTAGGTCAGTTTGGTTGAACATAGATGGCACTGCAGGTTGGTTCTAATCATTTGCCAGTGGCAACTATTTTACCAAAAGGAAACCTATGCCCACTTATGTTTTCTTGTTCCGTTAGGACACATCCGGCCAGTTCAGCTGCGTGCAGCTGGCAGAGATCGCCCGGTGCTACGCTGCCAAAGGCCTGGAGGACAGGGTTGCAGCATGCGAAGCTGGCCGCATGGGAACCAAAAGGAGGATGTTTAAACACGGATCATTATTTGTTGTTGTGTTTTTGCCGTGGAGTTATCCAATTCAGGACCTCCAGGACATGGGATGGTTGTTTTCCTTCACCTCAGGCGACTTTGATCATGGTAAAAGAACATGGCTTGGTCTTTAAAGATGTAAGGGATTGGCAGCCTGGAAGCATCGCGGTTACCTCGCGTTTCTCGCAGTTTGGTTCAAGCCAAGACCCTCTTTTCAGCACCTCCCAGCCTATTCTCCAGGAAAGGTTAAACATGTTCAACACTTTTAACGACGTTCAACCAGATGACAAACATGGCTGATAGGGCTTCACATAGTTGATGTCAACCCCTGATTAGTAAAGCTCCACTTGCTATTGAGGGGGTCCCCTTTTTAGTGGGGATTCCTTTCTTCCAGGACCCAAACAGGAAGAACTGGTGTTTTTATCGGGGGGTCAACCTACATCGGGCTTAGAGCATGTGACAGATTTTGCATCCGCAGGACGAGGAGTTCTTTGGCGTGCTTTGCGACGCCGTCTTCGGGCGCCTCCAGGACGCTAGGGCCAAAGGCCCCCTTGGGGGGGGGGGGAATGGGGGAGGGGGCGGGGGAATCGGTTTTTCCGAGGCCAACCGGTTTTTCTTGCCTACAAAACAACAGGTGAAATGGAGGTCAAATCCACAGGCTTCGGGGTTGGAACACAGGGTCCCCTTGTGTTTGAGGGTACCCAATTTGACTTAAAGGGCTATTCAAAAAAAAAAAAAAACAATGCTTCCAGTGTCCATAGGTAAGCAGGGGAAACCATCAGTGAAAACCTAGAGTTGACGGGTTCAGAGAGGGCTATGGTTGTGGACAAAATTGTTTTAAGTTCACGTTTTTGTGGTACTGTACCAAGGAGCCCCCTTGCCAGATAAGCTCGAAAGGGACAAACCAAAGGCTTCCGATCTTGGATCAGGCTGTGAAGGAAACTTGTGCGCTGACCCGTTCTGATCAAAGGGGTATGAGAAGCTTGGGAAAGGGAAATGGCAACTCCCAACGTTTTTCACGGTACGAGTTACGCTACAGAAAGTTGAATCCATATCAGTACACCGACATGGACAATTCCTGTGACTAAATGACCTTCTTCCTCTCAAGCAAGCATTATTTTGACTCGTTTGACTGTTTCAGGGGATTATCAACGTCAGTCATTCGGGTTGTTTCCCTTTAATCCAGGCCCAGTCTGGCCAAAAAGCAATCTTTTGAAGCTGCAAGGGTGTGTATTGAAACGGGGGAGACCCCCCACAAAGGTGTCTTTTTGTTGTTGGTCCCTTTTGCACAAGCCCCAATGCAAAGACCCAGACCCGCGTGGGGTGTCTTCGCCTTTTGCAAGCTCAGGAGTTTCATCCCAATGTGCTGGCCCATTTCCTCTTCTCCTGTGCGCGGGTGCGCTTTCTCCATGAGGCCCCCAGAAGGTTTGGGCGGTTGACTTCTCGCTAGGGGGGATAGCTGGAAGGGATCCAAGGGTGGCTCCGAGCTTTCCTTTGTTTAGTCAATGCTTTTTGCGATTTTTGGTGGAAGCCCCAGTGCTTCCAGGCGCTTCGCCACTATAGTTCGTACCCACGGGAAGCCACAATGTTCAACCTGGAGTCTCAGAGGTAAGGATTCTTGATTGCCTACTTTTGTGGTAACTGGAAGCACTGGAAGCGAGTTTCCCCAAACAGAACTGCTGAAATACGAGCACCCACGTTCTTCGAATTCCCTGAAACACGAGCGGACAGAACTCCCCACGCAAATGATATCCACCAGAGGACCCCTTTAAATGCATGCAAAGAATTATCAAGACGGACTATTGGGGTCTCCTCCGAAACTATTTCATATGTTTTGAAGATAGACCTATAGATATGAAACAGAAGCACAAACTTATGTGTTTTTGTGTGGCCCAGATTGGTTCCACAAGACTGAGCGGGCATGTTCATCAGGCGCTTGATCTTAGGGATTCAATGCCTTATCACTGAGCCAGGCACCGGAGGTCTGGTACAAAATTTGAGCACCCAAAACGGATTCCCAGTGGCAATTTTGGTATTGGGTGATTCTAGTATTTGGTGATTCAGCATAAGATTTCATTGGGTTATAACGATGCCTACATACAAACCTTGATAGCCATGTCAGAATAACCAAAAGTAAGTACTGCTCATTTGGCATGCAATTGGATATGACCAACGCGTAGATTTGCCTATGTTACATATATACGTTTTGGCAAGCTATTCGGGGGCAAACCGAGCCAAAACACGAAGTAGATCCTTTTACGAGCACTTGGAGATCCCTGACTTCCGGTTTTAGAACTTATTGTAGAAATTGCAGATGTAAATCATTATCACCTTTAGAAGACGATGCACGCTTCCCTACCTGCTAGCGTCGCGTTCCATGTCTTGGCTCAAGACTGCCTTACCTTTAGTCGAACGAGGCACGATTTCCTACCACCTTAGGATTGTTTTGCGCTTTTCTTGCATAAATCATCTTGCGACCTTTTGGACAAGGACAAACGCTCTCTGCCGGCTAGGGTTGTTTGCTCATTTGTTGCGTGACGACTCAATTGACTTTTGACGTCGTGAAGAATGGTACAGGTTCGCCACTGGCCGGCGTTGCTATCACCTTTGCTCTTTTGCAGAGCGACAAGCTGGCACACGTTCCCTACTTGCTGGTGTCGGTTTTCACTTGGTGACTGCATGTTTAGACCTTTTGGACAGTGACCACCGATTCCCTACTAGCTAGCAGCAAGTGATCTTCAGTTGTTTTTGTTTTGCGGAGGGCTCAAATACCACCAGACCCCCACAACCACTCATACAGGGCACTTTCAACAAAACTTGGCCTGCAAAATCACCCGGCCTGAGAATGGGGTGTTGGGGTCATTTTTGTGGTCGCTACCCCTCTTCGCTATCTTGGCCCTCCCCGGCAGGATCTTTGCACCGCGGCCTTCCCTCTCTTTGAGGCGTCCCTTCGGGCCGGGGGTGTTGGGGTCGCCCAAAGCTTTGGGGTTTCGGCGCATGGGAGGGCCTTGGAGGGTTCCGGTGGGCGGTTGATACGCCTTCCCCAAGAGCAGCTCACCCCCTGAGCTTCTGGACTTTATCCGCCCTTGCAAAGAACTGTTTTGATGGTACAGGTGTGGGAAGACCAAGTGAGTTGTAGATCTTTGGCACGACCCGTTTCGGTGGTGAACAAAGCAAATGGGGATTTTGTCTGGCCAGTGGGAGTGAGAAAAGGAGCGGACCTCTCCAGGTTTGCTTCCTTTGGCTTCCCGCCTGTCCCAAAGAACGCCTCCCTTCAGGATGGTCTGCCAAAGACAAGGGCCAAGTTATACCAACCTTCAAGGCGAGTTGGAATTGTATATGCGTCGGGGCTTGCGTCACCCCTTTCCTTTCAAAGTCGCAGCTCAGTCACGGCTTCGCATAATGAATTCTGGCCTTTCAGCGCCTCTCTGAACCCCATGGAGTGCTATTTTGTGCCATCGCACGAGGCTCCCCGCCCGCAAATTTGGGTGTGTCTTGTAAGGGATCGATGCAACGGTTGGTTCCCTTGATTTCTCCAGAAAGAAAAACAGTCCAACAGGCGTATCCTCAAGATCGGGAAGCCCGAAGCCAACCCCTGAAAAAAAGGGTTTGAGTTTTGACAATGACGCATAGAATTGTGCTGGGCTAACAGGGTCAGGTTGTTCTCAGTTTTGGTTTGGGGATGTGAGCTCCTGGTTCTTGTTTCAGCTAAATAGCAAGGTACTGAAGATCCAACCGCCAATTCAAATCTCACCAAAACAAGTGCAAATCCCGGTCTGAACCACCAAACACTTCACCAAGATCCAAATCACCAAGGCTCCGAAATTCACCAGCACCAAATCTCTCATCCAAACATCCATTATTTCACCCAGCCGAGTGGATCGCTGATACTGGTATAGGCACTCAACTTTTGGCTTTCAAGGGATGGTTACTCCCAAGAAAGTTGCCTATACAGCGAACCGAAAACACGAAAAAGTTCCAGAGCCGTACCATTGCTTCCCTGAAAATGAGAAGAGCGAATGAGAATTGGGTGGCCTTTGAAGATAGGTTCCTCTACCCCAACCACTAAGCTTCATCCCTTGTGGGAAATGGACACCTGAACACGGAGACCCACCAAAATGAGAGAGCGTTCCCCTATTCTAAGACACATCTCCGAATCAGGTCGTGCCTTTTTTTGGAGGCGACCCCCCAAACGTTTAAAGGCGAGCCACAATCAAAACCTGGGTAGATGAAGGTTAGTGCGGGCCAATCCCAGCCATAAATAGCTGCGGCCGCCTTCTTAATTCTTTACATGGTTCTGGGTTCGCCATTTTAGTACCGGGTTTTGATTGTGGCTCAGGTGTCCTTTTGGACTTCCCTAAAAACCACAAAAAAGGGAATGCCCCCCAAAGAAAGTCACATCCCATAGGCCCCTAAGACCCACAGGACGTCGCCAGTGTCCGGGTCATGGATGCCACGGCGCTGAGCTCCGCCATCACAGCAGCCAGCTTGCTGGACTGGCGCGGGACCAAGGCACCCCCCCCCAAAAACAAAGAGAGAGACAGCCCCACATGCCCCAGAAATATGGGTACCAAGAGTGGCAAACCCCACTTTTCACTCTTCTATGGGGGAGTGCGCTTTTGTTTGTTGTGATTGCTAGAGGAAAACCAAGAGGAACACCGTATGAGTTTTGGGGGGAGGTCCAAAGGAACGCCAACTTCAATGTCCGCGAAGGGGTCAGGTACCCTGTGAGCCACGCCTTGAGCAGGGTTTATGCAGCACTTGTTTGGGGCCAGTTTTAGGTTTCTGAAGGTGTGTAGCCTGGCCCTCATTTGAATATGGGATATTGCCCCAACATATGCCCAGATATCCCTGTTCTCCAATGATCATGATTCAATTCGGTTTGATTTGTGCCCAAAAGAACAAGCAAAAAACACGAATCATTCACGGCCCTGATAGTGACCCGAAGCACTTGCCTGTTCTCAGTCTCGCTTCCTGAGTTTCTGGACTTCAGTCACTTTTAGGGGAGACCATTTTGGGGCAACAAAAAGCAACTTTGGACTTTTGGGCCATCTAGTCAGGCAGTGGCTTCCAACGTTGCTGCGTTTCCATGGACGATTTTCGCCCAAACCTGCTCTGGGGAACAGACACAATCATGCCGGCACTCCCGAACGGCCTTTTCCCATGTTTAGCCCCAAGTACTGTTCAACAAGCAGCGGTGACCCTGGTGCAGCTGGACCCAAGGCAAGCCACCGCGAAACCAACAAGGTTCCGGTTTCGCGGTGAGCCCGGAGAGATCTTTTGGCGTGTCTATGTTCTTGGGTTGGCTTTAAAGCGACACCCCGTAGGAAAGTGGGCAACGACTGAACTGGTGGTTTTCAGTCCCAAAACCCACCGTTGCCGCATGGGTTTATCCTGCATTTTGGCTGGAAGCCAACACGGTCCAGCTCTATATTCCCTTGTGGTTCTCAACCGCAACTTGGTTGAGTTCGCCTTGAGCTTTTGTCCTTTTGGTCGAGTCTGGATCCAGTGAGGGTTCCAAAAGGTCCTACCTGTTGCCCAGTCTTTTGTGGGCAGTGAGTTCCCGGCGTGGAGCCCTGCGGTCTGAGCCCAGCAGCCCCATATATCTTCTGGGACATCGACACACTTGAGTGACACGACCGGGTGTCTGGCTGAGCATGGAGCCGAGTCGATTCCCGAGGCGAGGCTTCAAAGCGCTGGTGTGCTGCCAGGCCCTGGCGGCCCGAACCACGGCCGAAGCCTCAAAGCCGCGCGATGCTTTCCAAGTTAAGATGGGGCAAGCAGACCCGGTGGGTGTGTGTGTGTGTGTGGGTGCGTGAGTGTGTGAGTGAGTGAGTGCGTGCGTGCGTGCGCGTGCGCGTGCGTGCGTGCGTGCGTGTGTGCGTGCGCGCATGTGTGTGTGCGCGCGCGTGTGTGTGTGTGTGTTGTGTGGTGTGGTGTGGTGTGGCGTGGTGTGGTGTGGTGTGCGTGTGCGTGTGCGTGTGCGTGTGCGTGTGCGTGTGCGTGTGCGTGTGCGTTTGCGTTTGCGTGTGTGTCGTTGTACCCTCTCCTTGGTTTCGAGGGGATAAGAGAAGCCACAATTGGTGGGGGCCCCCTGTGTTGACAAATGACCGACGTTCTGCAACCCCTGCCTTTGAAAGTAGGATTCGGGAGGAAATACCGTTTTCAAAACGTTGGCTTTGCCTAGGCCTCGAAAGCGCCGCGAAAGGTTTGCGAAAGGGGGTTTATCAATTTTGAAAGGGGGTTTATCAATTTTGCAGACGCGTTGCCAATTTTGCACTGCACCTGCGAAAGGTTTCCGAAAGGGCCACAAGCTTCATGTTCTTGTTATGTATTCATGACTGCAAGTAGGGCTCAAGAAGGTTTGGTTTGGTATGGAGCAACTGCAGGTGAAAAAAACTCACGAACAAACACTTGGTATGTCCTGAGCTTTGAAGTCCGTTTGTACAAGCCCTTGGCTTACTTCGAACAATGACAAAGAACCTTGAGGATGCCTGCTTGAGAAGCTGTGGTTTTTATACGGGACCAACTTGAAAGCGCAGGCGAGGAAGCCCCGCGGAAGCTTCGCGAACGGGGCCCCTGCAGCTTCGCAGCCTCTCCCCATGTGTTGCCCAATCAAGTTTTAATGGGCCCAAGCATTTGCGCTGCACGAATATATTATCTCTTCTTCTCTTTTTTTTTGTTTGCACGCGTGAAAGCGAAAATCCATTTCTCAGTTTGGAAAAGCCACACGGAAGCGAGTCCAACATCAAGACCTCTCACGAAAGGAACCTTTCAAGCCGCGCAAGCTCCGCGGAAGCCAAAACCGGTTGAACGGTGGGGCTAGCTCAAAGATAAAGTATCTCTCTTCAGATACGAGAGAGAGAGAGAGAGAGAGAGTAAACTTTTTGCCGAATACTGCCGACAGCTTGGGCGAAGCTTTTAAAGAGCCCATTCTTTGGGATACTTATTTCAGGTGTTGGAATTCTTGTAGAATTTGTAGGGTGTGCGCATGTCGGAAAATGGGAACAATCAACCCTGCTTTCCTTTCGGGCCTCCCTGCTTGAAATCACCCAAAGCAAAGTGCCGGGAAAAGAACAACATGTTTTTTTTGCGATTTTCCTATCAAACAAATGCAACAAGAGTACACCTTCAACAAAATGTCCAAACCCTTTCCCAAGTCTTTCCAGACTGCACCTGCTTCAGCCTTTCGAGCTAGCGCAGCCCCGAACTTCAATCAGGACTGGTGGGGTATGCGACTGCCCTTGGGCGTGGTCAACAGCATCCAGCCCTGGCACCACTGACAAATGTGGGACACATGGATCCCGGAGACAGTGACTGGCAGATCTGGCGGACACGGTGGACAGCACCCGGAAAAGTTTGGAGTTGCTCAGCCAGTGGGAAGTGCCCAGCCAGTGCAAGGTCCCTTCAGCTTGCCTCTCCCTGTCAAAGGGCAGATTCCGAATGCATTGTTTGGAGACACATGAAACACAGTTTCGCACTGGCACCTGGCGGCATCACTTAGCTGCGGTACCCTCTGGTCAGCCCTGACCCAGACCCCGGTGGGCTGGCGCACTATGCTGATGTTCGAAAGTATGGCGCAAGCGCAGCTCCCTTCTCCGCTTCGGTTTCGTAAATCGACCTTGGGACCCGTTAAGGTGACCCGACTACGGAACCCTTGTAACGGGAGCTCCTAGGAGAAAGGACCGGAAAGCACCTTTTTTTTAATCTTTCCTTGGCAGGTGAGATAAGGGTTCTATTTGGTTGCCAAAGGAGACGGAACCCAGGGGATTCCTTGACATGACCCACCCCTGGTTTGACTCCACTTACGCCAGCTGTCCGCTCGGTTTGCTTGGATCTTTGTGCATCTCAGGAGCTGAGTGGGGTCGTCTTGCACTCAGTTGGGTGACGGCATGTGACATCCGTTGCCAGATGAGCCTGGGCCAAAACATCTTTTGATTTGGGGGTGGGATCATCAACCTTTTCATGTGGACTCAAGACAACCCTTGCAGACCCACGTATCTGGCGACGCTTTCCAGATACGAATTGGGCGGAAAAAAACGCCGATTTGAAGGGCCCCTTGAAGGATTCGCCAGCTTGTATTGGTATCCTCCATCTTGGGAATTGGGCGCTGGAGTAGACACAGAGCAAATTTCCATAAGGTGCCCTCCGGAGAGACAAGACCCATGGCATACCAATCTCTGGATTGCCTGGGGAGCACTCTCTTCCAAGGGCTTGCTTGGTTCCACAAGGAACCCTGTAAGGGAAGGCGAAAGAGGACTGCTCACAAAAAATGGGCCCCCTAATGTTTGCACACCCCCATGTGGAACTGAGAAACATGATCATTCCACCTGGCTCCTGGGACGACCAAACTAGCAGAAGATGGCTAGTTCACCACAAATCAGCCTCTGTTCTCCTCCAATTCCATTTGTTTCGGTATTTTAGGGTAGACTAAACATGAAACCGAGTCAACATATACGGGTCTGTCATTTTTTGAGGGTACCATGTGTTGATTGCTCAAATCGGAATCCAAAAAGGCAGCCAACGTTTTGGAGGGTCCAAAACACACCCATATTTTCCAGATGTGGGCCGAGGAAAGGATGGTTTTCCAAGCACTAGCTAGCTGAAGTTTACTCTGCGTTTGGGACATAGGCAGCGGAAACCACACCGCCGATTCCTCTTGAAGTCTTGGCCAACTTAGAGGATTGAATCCTCCCCGGTTTGCTTAGAAGGGTCTAAACATGGGTGTGGCTTAAAAGCAGGATAGTTTAGGTTTGAAACCCTAACCGGGAACCGAGGTAACCGAACCGCAGGAACCGAACCGTCCGCGAACCGTCAGCTCCAGAAGACTTCGATGTTACCCACGTAGGAGCCTGAAAAATACCCAAGCAAATTATGACTATTTGTAAGGCATGCCGTGCTTGCATGCAAGATATGCTACATGCCATGAACACACATGACTTTAATGCTGCAGCTCGGCAGCATATCAGAATCACATTGGCATAGCGTGCTCATTTCACCATAGACACAACTGAATAACTTTGGCTGACATTTTTAAATCAGCTTTGTAAATATGCTAGGGCCATTGAATGATTTATGTATTAATTTCTATTCAAACTTCATTGCGGAATTACTATTGAATTGTTATCTTCAAATTCCAACTGTCTGTATTAAATTGTACTTAGATTTTTCTTAAATTTCATGTTACACTTGTTTGGAAGGGAATGAGCTATGTCACAACTAAGTTCTATTCAATCGTCCAGTTCCATTTGGAGTAAAGACCTATTTGGAAAGGAAGTCAAACTTGGACATGTTGGAGGACGTCCGGCTCCAAATTATTGAGGCTTAGGGAATCCACAATTAGACATTTCAAGGATTTAGATCTCCGGATTCTAGTTTTCAGGTGTTCCAAAATGACCCCCGTTGCAGGCTCAAAATAAAGTTGGCGCGGGTCGGATCCTAAAATAATTCATCTATTTTATTTTAGTCCAACCCCCTTTTTCCATTAAAACTCATTTTGGCCTCTTTGAAAAACCCTTCAAAGTTGGACTGAACTCATTTCAAATTAACCTGAGGCAACCCGCTTCTTCCCCAGGAAGAGGTGGATCCCCTTGACTTTATTTTCAATAATAAAATGAAATACGGTTTGTCCAACTTGGACTGTTCAAACCAAACCCCCAAAATCAGGTCAAACTAAATCGTGATTTGTCAATTTATTTACTGTCAAAGTTGGACTGTTTCATTTTGTTTTCCAATCAGGATGGACTAGCCCTATTTTATCTGATAAAATGGAGGGGGGTTCAACCTTGTCTGGAGCCTCTGACGGGGGTCAAAATGGAAATTTCTAGTGATTCGAGGTCCAACAAACTGCTGCAAAAAGGCAGTGTTTTGCGGCATTTGCTCAGATCATGCTCCCTTGGATCCCAGACTGAAAGTCAAAAAATAAAGTACCCATTTCCCACGCAGTAAGCCAACATAAACTTTGAGGCCAGCATATTAAATGTTCCCAGGGGTTTGGAATCCGGAAAGAGTGCTCTTTGACAAATTATGGGAGCAATGTGTTGCGCAACATGTTGGCGCCGTCGCCCAGTCCCGCCGCGCCTCGATGTCCGACTCATGTCATGCGCTCGTCTTTGTTTGCATGGAACCCAACTTCCAAGGCCAAGCACCGCAAGCTTATCTTCACTGGGAAAAAGTAGAAAACTGACAAAGTCACGACATCGCGGTTGCCAACCATGTTGTAGTGATGTGCCCCCTAGCTTGCTGATTCTCTAGAGTCTTGTTATCCAGCGTTGTCAAACGGGGTCATTGGGCAACGTTCAATTGGCAGGCGTGGGACTTTTGTAGAAACCAAGAAGGACATACAGCGCTTCACATCACAATCGCGTCGCTTCAGCCAGCCCACATGTCCCAAAAAACGTGTCCAAAGTAATTTGTTTGGCCCAGGCTACATTGCCTGTAATTGCTTGCTTTGGGCTCACGTAGGGGCCTCCATGTTGGGACCTCCACGTAGGAGCCTCCCGCCTCGACGCAGCGGCTTTGCTGTACGAGCCTCCCCACACACACGCCACATCAGGGTTCTGTAGGGGCCCGACGCCGCGCCGCATGTCCTCTCGCGGCCCATTCCAGAAAAGAACTGAACACTGAACCCAAGTGGGGAAAATGCCTTGAGGCTATGCAAGGCTTGCGAGGTCTACGAAAGTTGGTAGGTTGGAGTCCCCCCTGTGCCCTGACCATGTGGGAGCCAGTTTTGGCCCCTCCACCCTTAGTCCTGCGTCGCGATCCTACCTTCACAACTCTCTGTGTCTCTCTCTCTCTCTCTCTCTCTCTCTCTCTCTCTTTGCTTGGTGAACTTTGCTCAGAATGGCAACGCTAGTTTTATTTGCTTCCGCAACTTCAATTGGCAGTGCGTGACTCACGCAACTGGGCTTGTCAAACTGTCCATCACTTTGTGAGAACTTTCGGCATGTTATATAGAGGGGACTCACCGCATTTCCTGCAAACAAAACAGACACGGAATCCCGAATTTCTGGGCTCTCTATTTACGGTCATGTTGTGTGATAAGAAACCCGTGGCGGAAGTCTGAGGTTTTGCCGAGACGGGGGTCTTGATTTTGTCTCGTACTGCTCACTTGGAGTAGCCAAATAAGAGGGCTGGTTGGTTCTCTCCTTGCAGTTGGTGGCCAAGACCACGCAAGTTGGTAGCTAACTTGCTGGAAGCAAGTCACACCCAAATAGCACCCGTCCCACTCGCCAGTCGCATCCCAATCGGACCCGTCACCTAGAACAAATCGGCTTTATGGGAGCTTTGAGACTCTGACAAATTTACTTGCCAGCCAAGCGAGAGTCTCATTTCTTGTTTAATGGGATTTCTTGACACACCCAACCGCCGTACAGAGCTTCTGAAGAAGTAAAAATTGACCGTCTGAACTCTACCCTCCCCTCAAGACCAAAAAGGAGATCACATTTGTTCCCACGGCTGAGGCGGATATTGGAAGATCACTTGTTTTGTTTGATACCCTTTTTCCATCGCATGGAAGTGGAGGTGCGGCCTTTCAAGGAAAAGGGGTCCGAACCCCTTTGTCAGCTTCCAGCATTGTCAGCGGAGAAAACATGTGAACATTTACACACTATGGTGAATAGTACGTAACCCAGAGAACATTGGTCATGTTGGTGGAAAGAGGATAGTTTTGACTTCGTGGAACATGTAGAAACGGGGACCCCCAAAAAAACAAAATGGCGGTGTTCCTCCCAAATGTCCTTTTGAAACCGCAAAGCAACGGGTTCCCAAAAGGACAAGACATCCGCAAATTTCTCAATGGGAACCCAGGATTCATAATCCCCAACGGCGGGTTCCAAGGTGCATCACGCGGACTTGGCCATGGGCCTCGCCCTCGCGGTGGCGCCTTGACGCAGAGCCTTTGTGTGGCCATGAGGGGTCCACATCTGCGCCCAGCTGGGGTTGCTTCCCCGGTGGGGTCTCCAAAAAGTTTTTTTTTTTTTGGGGGGTGGACATCAACTAATTAATCACTCACGGAGGGGTCACGGCTCAAGAGTCAACGAAGCTTCCAGGTTCTGTGATTTTTCTGTGTCAAAGTCCAAAACTGAAAGGCGCTTCCCTTTGAGAGGGGTATGTTCGGGCCTAGGAGATGGGGTCAAGCGCCACTAGGGACTCGGCCTGGATCCCAATTGCCTGGTGGCCAGCCATTTGTCTTCAATTTTCAAACGTGTGGTTCCCTTGGTTGTTGTAGGATTCGGGAGGAAATATTGTTCTAAAAAGGTTGAATGTTCCTAAGGTTTGAGAAAGGGGTTTACCAATTTTGCACACGCGAAAGGTTCGCGAAAGGGCCACAATCGTCATGCTCTTGTTTTGCATTTATGACCGCAAGTCAGGCAGGTGGGTTGGTATGGAGCAACGGCAGGTGACTCTGACAAAACTCACGCCTTGTGCGGAGGCAGGTATGTCCTGAGCTTTGAACTATGTACGCAAATGGCCCACTGGGCTTGAAAGATCTAATTCAATGGAGAGGGCCCAAATCGAAAAACATGCAAAGCAAATCAACATACAAACAATTGGAAGCTTACAACAGCTTAGACGTTCAATTCAAAAACAAATCCGGACTTTCAACAAAGTCCGTTAAACAAAAAACAAGACAGACTCTGGAAGCAAAAAATGACTCAGGCTGCGGGCGGGGGGGCGGGGTGGGGGGTGGGTGAGGGGGTGGGGGTGAGAGGGGGATTGGAAGGGACAAAAGGCAAAGCTGAGGAAAATCAATGGACAAGACAACACAAACTCAGAACGAAAAGAAACAAACCTAGACTCAGGAAACGACACAAGTGGACTCAGCCCAGAATCAACTGCTGCGTTTTCCCAAGTTCAAGTTGAGTCAAGAACTGAGTCCACAACTCTGTTTTCTCTTTTGTAGTTTTTGTTGTCTTTCGTCGTTGATTTTTCCCGTGGGTAGGTTAGACGTACTTACACTAGGCAGTATTCTTCCCACTGAAATGGACTGACTTCGATTGGCTTGGCCAGGTCTACATGCGGAATGCTGCTGGGGCTAGGCGCAGAACAGGGAAAGCTGATGGGATCTTCTGGGGGTATGGATTGGATCTGCCTGTGCTGAGCTGACTTGGGTCTAAAATGCGCTTCTCTGGGGATCCCTGTCAGGAAGGTAGTCGCGAATGGGGTGCCCATCTATTGGGGGGAACGAAACCCGGGTCTCCTGAAAATACTCTTTTCAAGGCACAATCTAAACAGCTTCTTATTGTACCCCCAGTGGGCCAAGAAACGGTTGCTTTCCGCGAGCCATGTGCACCTGAATTTGATCCCTTGTTCAACGACTTCGACCCGAACAAAGAGAAATGGCGCAATCTGAACGAGGAGGTGGCGTTGAATGAGTATCTGCTCCAGTCTGAGTCGGATTAGTGGGACCATGATCTGGACCAAGACACGCAGCTGCCTTCAGTCTCGCCTGCGGAAGCGACTTCGGCGCTTTGGCAGCCATCGAGACAGGAGCTCTCCTGGACCAGATCCCCATGCGCATCATTCGGAAACTGGGAATGCACAGCTGGCAGGAACAGCAAGATGCATCTGCCGCTTGGCCCGGGCCAGCTGATCAGTTCACTGAGTTTGCAGACATGCGGTATGACCCTTTTAACCCACTTACTTGGGATGGTACCGCTCCGGCTTTTTGGGGATGGCCCCCTTCTGGCCTGCCGCCAATGCGCAGCTTTTGGGCATCTCTTTGCATGTCTTGGGTTTGCGGGCAATTGACCCACAGCAAACAGTTACACAGCTGTTTGCTGATTAATGGGTCCACCACCAGTTGCAGACCGGAACAACGAGTTAAACCTTTTCAGCGGATAGCCCCGCAGCTTCCTTGCAGGTTCTTGCTGCCCTTCCTGCTGGACCACTTCTGCGAGACCCTCGCTGGGGCCTCCCTCCGGAGGTCTCGGAGCGAGGTCAGGGACGGGGTGGTGGGACATGGTTGGGGAAAATTGGGTTCTAGTGTCGCTGGTTTTAGTTCCGAGATGGTTTACCCCCCAGCCCTGAACCCAGAGGAAAACTGGGTATGTGCCCTTTCTGTCGTGGCTTTGCAGTCGCTGTATATCCTGTGAAACCCCTTGGGTGTAGTGGGTTCGGGGTAGTGGAAATCATCTTGGATTAGTGCCACTTTCTGTGTTAGTAAAGGAATCCGTTTAAGGAAGTCCTGTCTGGGGGATTGCCCACTTCAGTATCACAGAGACTATTTTCCAGTCGTTTCCAAGTGGCAGAGACTGATGGTTCCACACCTTGCGAGCCCGATTTTTTGGCGCTTCGCTCTGGTTTCTTCTGGACATGTTTCGAACTAAAGTCCATCTTCAAAGTTAGTAAGCCATTGGGTGTGTCTTTTTTTAGGATTGTGTGGACCCTCTAAAGTGGCTTCGGTGTTCATTTGGTTTCCCTTGAAAACACACAAACAGGGGGCACCCTCACACCCATTTCTGGCAACTTCTCAAAGGGACAATGTACCGGTTGCTCAGCCGGTTCTGGCTGCGAATGTCAGGCTTGGACCGCGATTTCCTTGCTGTGCTGCTGGTTCCCTAGGAGTTGGGTTGTTTTCTATGCTCACTGAGCACCCGACCAAGGGGCACCAGAAACCACCATGGTGTGTAACCAGCTCTTTTTCGCTGTAGGTGTTACATGACGTTTTCCATTAGTTTCCTACAGGCAATTGGATCCACTGGGCAAGCCTTTGGGACGGAACAGCCTTTCAGCCTTGGTAAATGCCTTCCCCATGAACCTGCAAGCCAACAGGTTGTAGACCCTATAATGGCTATAAATGTGTGTCGGTGATACAATCCGTTGTCACCGGACGAGTTGTGGTTTAGGAAACGCGGAGGGCGAAAGTCTAAGGGGTTGTCTTACACACTGGATGTCATTCTCGGGACATGACGCAATCTGGGAAGTTGACCCAAATTAGTCCGAAATAGTGCGGCTTTATCTGGAAGTACTTCCCTACAAATGAATGTTAATTTGCAGGGTAGATGGGACCAAATGGGTTGCAATTTTCCCTGTGCCCGTAGCCCAGTGTGTCATGGGGATGGGAGTTTCAATTTGGTATCATGGAATGGGTGGTTTCCCGCAACCCTTGATGGTTTACATTGGTTGGGAATCCAAAGCACCACTTTATTTTTATTTTTCAACGGGACCCCAGAAATTGTGGTTGTCCTTTTGCTTTCCCTTCAAAACAAAACAAACGGGTACCCTCAAGTTACACCAGCATAGACCCCCTATAGCAAAAAGCATGCCGATGATTGTGCACCAGCACCTCCAACAGCACCCCCCCGAAGCAGCGCTTGGCTGTCAATTTACGCGCCGTCACTTAGCACCTCCAACAGCACCCCAAACAGCATCCCCCAAACTGCATGCCCCCTTGCACCCCAGCGTCAATCTTGCAAAAGCACACCCACGCCGGCACCGCAGAGTCGCCAGCACCTCAAACAGAAACCCAGACAGCATCCCAAAACACCACCCGCGCCAGCAACCCAAACTGCATGTGTGCTTGCACCCTAACGTCAATCTTGCACAAATGTGCCTGCAGTGTCACCTGAATGCCTGCTAGCTCGCAGCCGTCAATCTCGCCGGCACTGCAAACAGCGCCCCAAACAGCACCTTCACCAGCACCCCAAACTGCACCACCCCCCGGTACCAGCCCATCAATCTCGCAAATCACTTCCCCCTCTTTGTCAGAACTTAGAACCCCTATAGCTTTTTCAGCTCTCTGGGGAAAATGTCACACCCACTTGGGACACATCCCTCCGTCCGGAACACAGGCGGTCTGCCCGCGAACACGTGTTTGTTCCCCAAGAGGTGGCGACCATCCAGCGCCGGGTCACACTGACCGGGCTGTGTGCGGCCTTTGGGGTGCCCAAGAGGTGGGACGGACTGAGTGGGGGGAGGGTACTGTGAGGCCACGTTTTTATCGCCAACTTGTAGTCATGAATAAGGAATAATTGATGCAAGTATTTAGTCATTGAATCATTGAATTGCTACTTAAAAATGGAGCCGCCTTGAAAGGAGCAAATGGAACTACCCACGGAGGTCCAACGTTTTGAGACACACCCTTGTGTGAATCAGGGGCCCAAGCCCTCTCCCAATAATTGAGGCCTTGGATCGGTTTGGACTTAGTGAGGCTTATTACCCCCTGACTCAGACCCTTTGGATCCCTGTTGGGAGGGAGTTTGTCTTTTCTTTTTTCGGGGGAAGTTGAGGTTTAAGGTGCCTCAGGAAACTCAGAGAAAACCAAAGGCGGCACCTTTCTGGGTATGTTTTTGGAGCAATGAGCTGGGGATACCAGCCAGCGAAATCCAGTGGGGGGTTTTAGACTCTGCCAGCTCATCCTTGCTCGTACCCAACCCCTTTCTCGTTTGGGGAAACCTTTGCCGTGGCTGGGTAGAGACGATTAAACCACACTCGTCCCGACTAAGCAACAGCTAGCTAAAGATAGCTTTATTTCCTGGACATCAAAAGGACATCATTTTTGGTGCCCCCCGACAGGTGTCTTTCAGACTTGCGTTTGCCAGGCAAGCCTGGGACCTGAACCAGTTGCGCATTGTGCAGGAGCGGCTTTTTCAACGGGCACTGGGCCGAACATTTCGAAAATGTGGGCGTGCGGGGGGTGAAGAAAAACAAGGTCGATTTTGTTCTTATCATCTTACGACTTTGCCCTCGACTGAAATGATGAGCCAATAAGATACATATGTCATAGGTGTATGTATGTACATAGAAATATATGGGTATGGGGTTGAATGTTGACAAAGAAGGCGTATCCACAGTTATTGGTGGGGCTCTCTAAACTCGTGCGCTTTGATAGCACTCTCGCAGGTGTTTTGCGTATTGTTCCTTGAAACCGCTCTTCGCCCGGAGCATGCAGGGCGGATTCAGCCCCTAAAAGTGAGCTGGCGCCGCCCTTGCGCGACGCTAGCTTTTGTTTGCCTCCCCTGACCTCAAGTCATTTTGTCCGGGGCTCATTTCCGGTTGATCGCCTATACCCCCGGGTGAGTTTGTGAATCTCGTTGTCCATTGATTTGTATTCAACCCCCGCCCCACCAGTTATTGATGTGATAACTCCGTCTGAACATCAATCCGAAGCCACTTAAAAGAAATCCTTAGCTCTGAATGGGAGGTCAAGGGGGCAACATAAGCCCATTTCAGCTGTTTGTTTCATTCGGGTTTATGAATCAAGGAGTGATCGGACCCTGCTTAGTTAAAATGGGAGGCTAGAAGACACAGTTTTGCTTGCTTTTTGCAGCGAACAACATAGGAATAATGACAAGAACGTGCTGGGAGTCCATGTAAACATATATGATCATTTGCTTCCGTCAAAGGCCGTCTGTCCAAGCAAGGATCGGACATACATGAGGTGCCAGGTATAGCAGCTGTTCGTGCGGCAGCTGCAGCATTTGGCAGCTGTCTAACTGGGCATGTTGTCGCGCGCGAGCGGCTGGGGGGCTCGTTTTGCGTGACGGGCGCAGCACTTTGGAGATGGCCGTGTGGATTGCGTGGCAGGCGCAGTGTACTGTGCGTCTGGGCGAGTGTTCGTGTGGCGTCTGCAGCATTTGGCAGCTGTCTAACTGGGCTGGACGTTGTCACGTGCGCAGCTCGGGGGATCGTGTTGCGTGACAGGCACAGCACTTTGGAGATGGCCGTACTGACGTGGCAGGCGCAGTATTCTGTGCATTTGGGTGTGTGTTCGTGTGGCAGGGGCAGCATTTGGCAGCTGTCTAACTGGGCAATTCCCGCATCTGGCGGGGTACCGCGCATGCGTCCGGTTCACGCGGACCTGTGTTTTCCAAGGCTAGACATGTGGGGTTACCCGGCCCTTTAATTTTGTTGGGGGGGGGTGCCCAATTTGTCGCCATGTTGTCTTGGGGAAACACGTGGGGAATACAGCCAAGTCTCAGCTGCAGTTCTGGCTTGCGGCTCCTCGATGAGTCACGTTTAACTTGTGCGCTGGAGAACCATCGCAAATTGACACACGCACGCAGACACAGTGTGTGTTGCACCCCCCCTTCCGGGCCAAGCCAACATTCAAAAAAGGCACAGCCCAAGTTTGCCATGTTCTGTTGAGGAACCAGGTATCACGTTGGCCGCAAGTGGTGGTTTGGTTTTGTGGTCAGGGTTTTGAAGGGTAAATGGGGAACCACATGAAGCCCGAAACCAATCCAAACCCCGAAGCTGATAGTAGTAACCCTGTACCCAAATGGGCTACCTTGGGCCCCTCTTGCCAGGTGACCTTCAACAAGCTCCAGAGCTATTTGGCCCAGACAGGCTCCAGCTCTCGGGCTGAATCCATCTTTCGAGGGTAGCTTTGGGTTAAACTTGCTGGTGCTTCGAAAATTCCGTTCCGGGTGTTGGGAATGAACCTAGGGATTCCCTCAAAGGAAGCCATAGGTTGGGCCCTTCTTGGTTGGGGTTCAAAGGGAACAACAGAAACGTTGTTGTTCTTTTTTTGTGGGGGGGCCGCTGGGGGTCCACTGAAGAAAAGACACACCCATGCAGGCATGGTTGTAACTTGTTGCTTCCACTTCCGCGAAAATGTCGAAAAACCAAAACCTCCTCCAAGTCAGACCTACACATTCCCAGTCTCATGGTCATGTGAAGTAAGATAGCACGTAAGTGTTTTAGGGGGCAGCGTTTTAGTTTTAATGCTTAGTAGCCTTAGTTTCGAGTTTCGAGGGTTACAAAGGGTTGACTTGGAGTTAACTGAACACTGGAGATTACTTGTACGCGAATGATTGGTGCATCGCGCCCATGGTATTTTGCCAGGGCACATACCTGGGTACCCGCTAAGGACCTTGGAATCAAACAACGGGGGCACACGCAAGACGCATTCGCTTTCAAATTATAGCAACGTTTCTTTTGACCTCCCTAGTCAAGTCTCCTTTAGAACCCCGTTCGGTGAAGGGGAGGGTGACTTTTTGGGGTGGTTATCAGGAAGTCAAAGGCAGAAATCCATATATTGCAATATGCCCAGATTTGCTGTCAGGATCGAGCAAGGACTCCTATGAGCCTACGCCGAGCAGCTTTCACTTGGAGGCGTGAGCGCGAGCGAGGGGAAAGGAGACTGCCCAGTTCAGTGTCACGTCGAGTTGCGTCCGGGCAAACTTGAGGTCAAGCTGCCTTCAAAACTGTTGGTTTCCAATCAAGCAGAAACACGCTCTCCACCCGAATTTGCAATTGGGCCCAGTTTTGTATATCATGAATTCCCTGACCCGCCAAACATGCAATAAACCAGACACAAGGGTCACCGGGCAATCATGTGAGGGCCGTGGCTCAAAACGTCTGACGCCATTTTTCTGGCAAGAGGAAATAAAAAAAGAGAAACCGTTTTCCAACCATTGAGTTTTTCTACGAGTGGTTTGGAAGGGAAAGGACAAGGAGACTGGTTGTGTATGGCATGGAAGCTGGCTCAGGCACGCAATCAACATTAAGGGACAACACGGCACGGATATCCGCCCAATGGTAGTTATTTACATGTTTTTGTTTACTTCTTTTTGATACCAGGTGTCTATTGTGACTCGCAAGGGAAACCGGCAATGGGACCTGGGATGAATGTGAAGATACTGCCAAAACCACACAACACTGGCCCATGCCTCCCACGTGTTTTGACATAAGTTTCACACCTAAAAGACATGTTGTGTTTTTGTTCCAGCATGTGAGACTTCCCTTTGTAAGCGGGATCCAAAGGGAAACCCACAGGAAAGCCAAGACCAGTTTTCGGGGCCCCGCTATTGGATAGAATCCCAATTTTCTCCTACAGCTGAGAGTTTTGGGTTCCCGGCCCATTGTCTCCGGAGTGGTTCAAAAGCGTTTTCAAGTTCCAGGTGTTTGGTGTCGGGCGGGTTGGTCAATCGGTGAATCGCCAAGGTGGTGGCGGTGCTCCATTTGCTCAATGTCCAGCCGCTGGGCTGAAAGGACATCAACGGAAATTGCTCGCCATTTTTTCCCAAACGGGTTTGACGATGTTGCCACGACTCAGAGCAACCCTGGGAACGGTCGCCACGAGGAGTAGGTCATTGAAACCTGCTGGGGTACGCTTGGGAGTCCTTGGGAGGTTGTATGATGTTGATTCTGGTGATACAACATGTAGTTGGAATGATCTATTTGGAACTTCCATCCTAGAAAGTCATTCTGAGCCATCTATCAGGTCCACCCCTCCCTCTCTCTCTCTATCCTTCCCGACGAGCAACCAACGGTTATATTTGAGGTGCATCATGAATTACATAGCCCACAATTATGAAGTCATGACATGGTGCCATGGGAGCGTCTTGCGTTTCCAGCTGTCATTGATAGCCGCACACCTTGGGAGGAAGGGGAGGGAGGCAACCCCCAGCAAGCAAGGTGTGTTGGTCCTCCATATCATGGCACCTATTGGCCCTACTACCCATAAAAATAGTCTGCCCATCCATGTGCGAACTGAAGCAGTTTGACCTTGAAGTCCTTCACAACTTCACGTGTGTTCGTTTGGCGCTTTTTCAAGTTTGTTCTGTTTTCCCATGTGAATTTATTTTTGAAGATGTTTCAAGTCAAGTTTTCGCAGGCTTATGTCTCAGCAGGCTGCAGATGGCAAGTCCGGTTTGCGGTTCGGTTCCTCGGGCTTTCTTGAGCTAGTGGCATGGTTGGCGTCTGAGGGTTTGAATGAATTTGATGGACTGTGCTCTTAACAGAGAGGATGTTTTGCAAGCCTCATGAAGCTTCATCAGGCTGACTTTGTTTCAACACTTTGAGGACGTCTTTTTGAAGGAGCTTGCGGTGAGCCCATCGGCTCATGCCCTATGATTGACGCCTTAAATATTGCAAGTAAACAAAACGCATGGCTGTGTCTTGAAAGCGGGGACCCCCAAAATCATGGCATTATTCTTGGTTTCCCTTTAAACCACCTCAAGGTACCAACTCCAAAAAAGACACCCACATGGCAAATTTCGATGGCCAATTTAGAAGCTTCCATATCGCACGGGGTTCCTGTTGCCCGCAAATTTCTTCCGAGTTGTTCTAGCAAACTCAATTCGTGGCTTCCAACCGGTTTCCATGTCAAGTTGCGGGGGATTTCGAGCTGTTCCCATGGCAAGGCTCAAGGGTTCCAACTTGCCGCAAGCTCCTTCCGACGTCTCCAACTACGGCAAACGGGCGTGGTTGTTTTTGAGACTACCTTTTTGGGCTTGGTCAAGACGCACGAAATTCCAGGGATTGCACAAGTTCCCGCCGCAAGGCATCAGGTGGAGCAGCCGCAACGGCCCTTTATGCCGGGACCTGAAAGGTCAGGCTTCAGACGTACCAAAAGTCCCCTATATATACACCTAGAAAACCCGGAGTGGAGAATTAAACCTTTTGGCCTTCACTACATAAATTTTAGTCGGTTCCATCAAAAAACGCCTTTTCCTTCAACTGCCTTGAACATGGTTCGGCAAAAAACGCCTTTGTATCGCCAAAAAACCCTTTTGTGTCGGGGAAAAACGCCTCCGCCAGTTTGTTCATACATCCAAAAACCAAAAACTCAGGAAAATTGCCTCCAGGCAAAAATATATATGATGACCTTCCCTGAAAAGGCAGTTTCCCACGAAAATGCAGAAATTCGGACTTAGGAAGATCCAGGTATGGGTCTGTATTTTGTGTTGTTTTAGTGCTTTGGGCGATATGCTCTCCTAGTGTCCTTCCGTTGGCACGACAATCTTCCGCACCCGACTCATACCCAATTCAGATACCGAGTCATACCCTTCTGCAGCCATTTGCAACCAAGAGCCTCGTGTGCCCTGGGCAGCAATACTGAAGCTGAAGCAACCAAATCTTCAGAAGATAGGAAAAGCAAAGGAGAGGGCTGCAGAACGAGGTCACACCTTTTTGGAGAGAAGATTGCAAGACGCTGGGTTCAGAAGGCTTGCAGTGCCTTGAGGGACGAGTTGGAAATTTGTAAGCTGCGCCCGGCAAGGGTCAATTCTCAGGAGCATTGCAAAGAGCGGTCTGAGCTCGAAGAAGTGGCGAGCAGGCAGCAAGGGCATTCAGCAGCTGGAATGCCAAAGCAAGCAAGTTCTTGTCAGCGCCTGATTTTTGCCTGGGGCCGATCCGGAGCAGCTGCTAAGCGGAAACCCGCCCGCAACCGCAAAGCGCGCACGCTCGCAATGTCTGAGGAGGTGCGTGTCTACTCGCTGAAGTGTGACTTGAGCGAGTGAAGCGCAAGTGTCGCGGCTGCTTTGAGCGTCAGCCTGCTGTTGATTGAGGCTTGCGCGCCGAACCTCCTGCGTAGAAGTCTGCTGGGCCCCCCCCCCCAAGGCAAGCCAGAGAGTGAAACGTGGGCGAGCCGTTGGGATGCACGTTTCTTGCCGAAACACGGAGTCTTAGATTCCTGGTGTCTCCTGCATGTGCCAACTGAGCGTCTCGGTTTCTCGCGGCTATCTGTTTGCCACGAATGATAATTGAAGCGCCCAAAGCCACAAAGCAAGAAATTTAAGGCGCGCGGGGCATACCCCGAGCCATACCCCGAACCACACCTGCGATTCTCACCTCGACAGGGGTGTCTTTTTACGAGACACCCCCCAAACAAACTGGCAGAAGAGTGAAGTTCCCTTCAGTTTCTCCTCGGAGCCAACAAAAAGAGCGTTCCCCCAAAACAAACCCACACTTCCCCCTCTGAAAGATTGAGCCATCACGTCTTTGTCCTATTTAAGGTGGGTTTCCCTATGGTAATCGGGTTGGATCTTTGACCCGATTCTTCGGTTGAATGTGTTTTCCCACCCGTCACGGGAGCAAGAAGTTGCTTTGAGGGGCGATAGCTAGATTTGCCTTTTCGGCTTCGATCATCACCATCCAAGGTGAGTTGCCTGGTGGGGTGATGTCTCAAGGTTTTTTTTGGGAGCCTTGAAGGAAACCTCACCGTTTTCATTCCAAGCCCTATGTTACGTGGGCATCATGTGACACTTTTGCCCAGATATGGCGTCTGCTTAGGTTAACAATCGCATTTGCATGGTTCGCTAGCTATCCTCGGTGTATGATTTTGGTTATGTGTCAAAATGGTGGTTTTCCCGAACCATGCTTAAAAAGGGGTACGTACTCTCAACAACATAAGGCGGCGCTTTTGGGGTCTATCCCTAATTCCAAATTGTTCATTCCTTGCATGGCGCTTGCTCCCGAAACTGGCGACAGGCTTCCTGGTCCCTAGAAATTCACTGGCCGCCGTGGATGGACAAATTCACGCTAGTCACCAGTTGAGCAGCAACCAACGCCTCTATAGGTCGTGGTCCTAAAGCCTGGTTCAGAGGGGATATAGCAAGCGCTATACAAGCCAGGCCACAACAATCATGTTAGTAGAGCCAAAAGTCACTGGAGCTTGGGCGCTGCTCAGTTGGGATTGGTGGCCTTTCCATTGTTCATAGGGATTCATCCATGCCACATGGTGCAGGTTTCTGTCCATCCACAAGAATAGGTTGCAATGTCTCCCCTTGATACGGCCCTTTTTTCAGGCTCCCATTTTGTTGCGTCAACTTGTGTTGTGTGTGTGTGTGATGTTTTTTGCGCGGTGTTTTTTGGATCATAGTTTCTGTGCCCCATTTGTTTTGAGAGACAGAATGCACAACCTGCATTGGAGGGTGCATATATATCATACCAGGAATTTCAGTTACCACCTCACAAGTGGTTTGTGGACATGAGCCCGCATCTATATGATGTCCACCAAAGGGTCCCTTCTTAAAATTTATGGGCGGGATCCACATGTCCATGTGTCCCACGTGCCGCGCACCAGAGAGGTTTTCAAAACCCTAGGCACCTTTTCTCATAACTGCTTTTCCAGCTTTTTCTTGGAGGTGGCAGGGAAACGGCGGTTTGCCCTCATCCTTTCCGATTCTGCCGTGTTTGTCCCCATAGAGTGTCTCCTTCGTGGGCCACGTTTCGCTTGGAGATGTTTCGGGAACTTTAAGGTTAGATAGTAACTCTGCGTGGGGTCGGAGATCAGTTTCTGGTGCCATTGATCAGGGATTGAGTTTGGTGGAAGCCACGTGACCCGACACGTGGGTTCCGACGTGCCTTCATGATGTTAATTATTCCGTTTCAGGGGCCTGAAAAATTGGATAGCCTGACCGCCTTTAAGTCACATCCTCAAGATGACCCTGGAAATGCCGAAGCCAGACCAAAACACATCCCAAAAGAAATTCTGAGAAGGCCTCACTTGCGCTTAGAGAAGCCCTGGGACAAGCTGAGTGCGTTGTTCGCGGCTTTGGATCCATTGAGGCTTGACATCACGATCCGACCTGAGCAGCTGCGATCAAGCCAGACGTGAGTTCGACAAGCCGGCGGCTTCGTGCAGGGTTCCAGGCTTCGATTTTCCCGGGACCTTTGGAAAACACAAATCTCAAAGTGAGTTTCTTTTTTGGTGTGGGCTGCCGTAGAGATCCAAATCCTAGTTGTCAGTAGGTTGCAATGGATCCCCCTTGCGAGTTGGCTCAGTATCGGAAGTATGCCAATCATAAACTCTGGGCCAAGGGGCTTTGCGACGTACCATTCCAGGCTTCAGGTGTTCGTTGTTTGCGTGAAACAACAGAAGCGTCATCCGAGTTTGCAACATATCATGTTGCCTTACAATGAGCTCACGTGTCGCTGCCTCTCTCGCTTCACAGTGGCATTTGTGAGCCGGAGGACCTTAAGTACTCAGTGCTTTCCTTGGCACATGCTTCCCAAAGAGGTGCGGCTTTTTCTTACAACTCACTGCATAACAATGTTTGTGAGCAGGATAAGACCGCTTGGAGGCGCACCTATACAATTGCCTGACTCGTTGCAGTGTCGAATTTATGCAAAATATCAAAGAGACAGGACCTGCACTGGTTTGTGAAGCTGTTTTGAATCCCTGGCTAAAAAGGCCTGGGATCCGCTGAGTTAACGTATCCGGGTCTTGAGGCATTGACAGCAACTCACCCGCTTCCGAAGCACCATTTTCAACCAGGCCTGGTTAAACACAGGGGGTGTGGCCCTCAACTAATCAAAGGGCACACCGCTTCCCTTCAGCCCCCTTTCATACCTTGAGGCTAGTTGGCACCTCCTCCAATCGCAGTCCACCTTGAAGAGCAGTCCCTGTGAACAAATCCTATTAGCCTATGAACAAGGGGAAAGGGAGGGCCATCCACGAATGACACCGGGGGGGGGGGGGGAGATCAGGGGTGAACATAAGCACCAAGCAGTTGACAGGGTCCATTCTTGGTTTTCACATGCCCATTTGGGTGTGTGTGTGTGTGTGTGTGTGTGTTTTTTTTGAGTATCCTTTTGGGTTGGCTCAAAGGTGTCTAGTTCAATACCGAAACTGGCTGAAACTCAGAGCCAATTCGAGTTTAGGGAGCTCAACCCAATCGGCCACATAAGAGCTTTGACAATGGCACATGCGGGGTTTCTCAAGAAGCGGCCCCTTCAAATGGGGAGGGGGTCTCCTTCAAAACGATGTTTAATGTTTGGGTAGAAGAAATCTGCAGATATGATTTTCTATGAACACCAGATGTGGGCTAAGAAAAATGCTTGGTTTCTTTTAAATTGTGTTCCTTCAAGTACCAACCCAAAGGGGGTCCACCATTTGAGAAACTATGACTTTGATCCGGATCCTTCCGATGGCTCTTTTTCCTTTCCGCCGCCTTTTTCTTGCCGCAGCTTGGGCTCAACCAGTGCCATTGCAAGCGGAGCATTGTAGGAAGCTAACGATCTCCGGCAAAACAAGAGTGACGTGGCCCGTGAGGATGCTTCCCGCTTAGTGAAACCACTATAGGTAACCAGCAAAAACATGATGTGGAACCTGAAGGTAATGATCCCTGGTTACCTATGGGAACTGAAAGCACTGGGCTGAAGATTTAATAGGATTGATCATGAAGATATCTGGATTTTGCGGGACATCTCCAACAGTCTTCCTTTTTTTGGGCATCACGCCAACGGGCCCAACTTGCTTGGAGACTTGGTTTTTGTTAGTGCCCCAAGACATAGAGTCGGGTGATGAAAAGATACAATTCCCTCATCCCTTTTAGCCCCACCTTTGGACATGTGCCATCTACCTTCCGGGTGACCCTTTTGCTTGTGGACGTGAGAAGCTATGGCAACGCTGGCACCACTGAAGTCAACAGCGCCATTTTCCTTTCCAGGTTCCCCTCGTTGTCAGAGGTTTGCGCATGTTTCTCATTCCGACATCACTCGCGACAGAACACTTTTGACGCCTTCGAACCGCAGCAAGAGCTTGCATGACGTAAAGGCACCCATCCGAGATGGATCCCTTCCGGCCAGCAGCGGCCTCAGAACCTCAGTTGAGCTTTGGCCGGAGAGAAGGGCAGTTGGAGAATAATACTTCTCGCACGTTTGTAGGCTTTGTTAGAATCATGGAAGAGCCTGGGGGTTGAGGATTGAAGCTGACATGCACTTTGTCAGTTGCCACCTTTTCAACCATCCAAAGACCTACCTTTCTGTCAACCCCCAACTCAGAAATCTTCCCCTACCACTCCCCCAAACACACCATCTTCAAAGCACACCTCCAGTTTTGGTCCTCTTTGGTCTTCCCGACAGCGCGCGTGTGTGTGTGTGTGTGTGTGTGTGTGTGTGTGTGTGCGCGTGTTTTTTTGTGATTGCGTGTTTGCGTGTTTGCGTGTTTGCGTGGTTTGCGTGTTTGCGTGTTTGCGTGTTTGCGTGTTTGCGTGCGTGTTTGTGTGTTTGTGTGTTTGTGTGTTTGTGTGTTTGTGTGTTTGTGTGTTCGTGTGTTTGTGTGATTGTGTGTTTGTGTGTTTGTGTGTTTGTGTGTTTGTGTGTGGGGGGGGTGTTTGGTGATTGGGGACTCGGAACGATTTTCAAGGAGGTCTGTGATCATCTTGCACCTAGAACGCCCATTGGCCATTCCATTTAAGTACGTTTAGTATGTGGTTCTACCTGGTTTCATAGGCTTACTCATCGATTCCTGGTACCTGTCTAGTATGTAACCACGTATGGCTACCTCTAGGCTATACTTCATGGAAATTCGCTTGGTTTCCTATAACACGGGAACTAGAAGCATTGGGTCGGTAAGGCAAGGGGTAAACCTCTGCCATATTGCGAGAGCGGCTTTCGTGGAAAGAAGCGAGCAAGACTTCTCGCGCGCCCAAGTCTGCCAGGTCCAAGTCCTGGAGGTGCAGGAAAGGATTGAGAGCCTCTCCTTTGCAGGCAGCAACCGCTCCAAGTCCTTCGTGCGCCTTTAGAGATTCCTCCCAAGCTTGTCGTCAAAAGGGTGTCGAAAGGAATCCGACCGCTGTTTGCCCCGGTTCCTTTTGCAAACCAGGCATTTGGCTCTTCCAGCTTTCCTGGCAGGTGGCCACTTGTACGTGGGCACTGCGGTGGGCAACTTGCTCCAGTGCCCCAGATCCGAGTTTTAGGTCATTTGCCATGAAAGTGCAAACGAGTGTGTGCTTGTGCTGAGGGCCCCCTCAAAGAAAGCAATGGTTGGTTTTCATTCGTTGCTTTCCCTTGAAAACCACCACAAGGGGTACCCTAAAAAGACATAACATACCCAAATGTCAGGTGTTCTCATGGTGACTTTCCAGGATGTTTTCCTTTTAAACCACCATTTGGGGGGGTAAAAATAAGGATGCCACATCCAAATGAGCGTCAATTTGTTCTGCCCACAATCTGAAAGTAGTGGGGAAGGGGCATGATTCTTCAACATGTGCGCGGTGCAGACGCGCGCAAGCATACGGCAGGCTTTGCGGAAGAGATTTCTTTCGCGGAAGGTTCGCGGAAGCTTTTGGTTTGATATGAACCGTTGAACTTTGTGAACAGCCATTTCTGCGCCAATACTCGCGGAATCAAATCTTGTAAAGTATGTGCCGCAGAAGGACGCAGAAGCAAACGATGGAACACGCGCCACAAATAAATGTAGAGCATAAGCCCGCGGAAGAACCAAGAAGGATGCAGCAGGCTGAGGGAAGCTTGAAGAATGCTCAATCAAGCTTGAGGGGAAGTCACACCAACGCTCAAGTGGACCCAGTACTGCAGGTTGCCTCTTCTTTTTTTCCGACCATGTCCAAGTTGGAGTCCCCTTCAGAATGATCAAGTGGGAACTGGGAATCAAACCGCCCGCCGATATCACCTTGATTTTCATGCTCCGCATGGTGGTCAACGGCTAAAACATGGGAGCTTCGCCTGGGCCCTACTATACAATCTATGATCGGCCGCCTTAATAGGCCCGAACTAAGGCCGAGTGGTTGGATGCCCTAATTTGTGCAAGGGGAACAAGAGAAGCCTGGAATTTCCCCACAATTTTCCGGGATGATGTGGTTGGCTCTGTTTCAGTATTTAGGGAATTTCGGGCCCTCAGAGTATGCCCCGCACGGATGGACTCCGCAGGTACTCGCTTTCCAATGGCGAGGACAGGGTCTGAAAGGCACGAGTTTGGTAACGGCTTGTCTCCCTTAGTAGATGTTCAATAGGGAAACACACCTTCCTTGGATTGCCAACGGATTTGGATTACAGAAAGATGCGGAAGGATCAGGTTCGAGGCGGGTTGGCCCACCCTCCATTTTCCATTTTGAAGAGCCCACGCCTGCGCAGCTGGCTTGTTCAAACCATAGAAGAGGACATGGGTTAGTTGAGAAGTCTGAGGTCCAAGCTCCGTAATTACTTGAACCAATCCCTAAACCATCCTCAGAGGGTATGGGACCCTGACGATACTTTTTTTGGATTGTTTCAAAGGGACGTATTCCTAGGCCGAGACTTTGCTGAGGGGCACTTTGCTGTCCAGTGGCCTCATGCAATACATGCCTTGGTGCGACTGCTTGCAGACCCACCTGGGTAATGGTTGAACAGAATGGAGAAGGAAGTAACACCTTAATCGATGGGTTCTTCTCATCTCCATTGAGGTTTGGGAATATCACCGAGAATTGTTTCAATGTGGGCTTATTGCAGCGCATTCCCTGTCCAAGAAACCAACTCCAGGCATGTTTACGCCAAGTTCGCCCAAAGCCTTGGCAATTTCGCCAGCTTCCTGTAGAACCTCCAGCCTTAGACCCAGACCAGTGGTGCCCTTGTTTCCGTTTGTTGGAGCGGGGGTTCCCTTACAGCCGCCGAAGGGTGTCCGTTTTGCTGGCGGGGGTAGAACCTGCCGCTGAGGACAGCGCCAGGCCTGTGGGCCAAGTGCGGCTGTCCGCGCGGCGGGCGGTGGAGCAGGCGCTCGGACGAGTTGGAGGTGTCACGTGAGCGCCCGAAAGCTGGGCCGGTAGTAGGTTCCATCAACATCCTGGCTGGTTGGGGTTTAAGTACGGCCCATGTGAACCTTTGTGACCATGTTGATGTAGCCCAACATCAAGGGTGTTTTTTGCGCTGCATGCGAGCAACTGTCAACAATTACCTTCATTTCCGGTAGTAAACTCACTGTAAATTGACCAACCCGCAACTATCCTCAACCAACCCTCTTAACCAACCCCAGCCACAAACTCTCCACTGTTGGGGGGGGGTACCATAACCACGGGTGGGGAAGGGGAAGGGGGCTAGAACCTGGAACATATGTGTAAACGTACATATACCGATCAAACCTGCGGGTTTGCCGCGCCCGCGTTCGCCGATCGGCAGGTCTGCGCGACCGGTGGCTTTGTCTTCGTGTTGCTCGACGGAGTCCTGAGTGCACTCCCCGGCAACGTGCAGTCGTCAGCGCCGGTCTGCTGCCTAGCATCAAGTCAAGGGAGCTGGATATGCGCGGGCGTCCCCAGAACTGGAGCTGTTCCCTTTGGTTTTTGGCATTGCCTTCAAGGGTTTCTTGGCACCTTCTGAGGTTTGACACCCAGGATACCAGGGACCCTCTGGCTCGAGCAAAGGGAGCCAGCGTGGTTTTCTCTGTTTTTTTGGGAATAGGGTTGGATCCCGAGATATCCCGCCACTTCAAAGCGTGATTTTGCTTGGAACAGTGGGGACTCTTCCTGATAGATGTTAGACGAACTGGACATAGACATGAATGAGAGAGAGAGAGAGAGACGATAGAAGCTGGACACATGCTGGTCCCAGTGCTTGCAGTTGCCACTATAGTAGGTAACCAGGGGAAACCATCAAGTACAACCGCGAGGTAAGACACCTGGTTACCTACGAGAGTGACTGGCAAGTGAAAGCATTTGGGGTGTCTTGATTGCTCAGGTGGAGTTGTGCAAAGATGTGCCTCGGCTCAATGCTTTTTCAGCGGCAAGGCTCCGGTGAGCCATCCGGTGTTCGATGGGTGTGTAGTGTTGGGCTCGCTGTCCAAGTCAGCAGCGCCCGAACCCCCTCCCGAAAGGGCTAAGCTGGTTCCATGTGCATGGGGCTTGTAAGTCCAACATATTTAACCTTTGCCATGTTACCCAAAGTCAACGGTGTTTGAACACTCAATTCAACTGCTGTTGCTTCGACTCGCAATCGGTGACCCATGGCGGGAAACACCGGTACGAGTTGAAGTTCCGAAGAGCCATGTGTTTTTTTCATTTTGTTTCTTCATTTTGTTTGTTCAGTTGATCCAAACTTTGTAGCCCATGGTAAACATACATTTACGCAGATAAGTATGTATTGTTTGCATATATATTTATATACATACACACACACACTGTATGCACACTACATACACACAGCATGTGTATATATATATATATATATACATAAATAATATGTATTGTGTTTTACCCGTGGATGGTATATCTTGACTGGCTCCAAGCTTTTGTACATCATGCTTGCAAAACATATGAGGTCGCTTCAACCGCTACACCCCAAGTTCGGGAATGGGTGCAATCAAGAGGTCCGGTCCCACCCAGTCACCCGATCCAGTCGCCCCTGTACTGACTTACAGCCAACTCACCAGAGCCATAGGGATATTCACGTTGCCCGTGCTTTGGATGGGTTTGGAGGTTAGTGGTTGGATGAGCGAGAAGCCAACAAGTTGTGCAAGCTCGCTCTTAAATGGGGCATCTTCCCCAACAGTCATGTGGTTAGCGAACTGGGTTCCATTGGGAATCCTAGCCGCCGTGGGATGCATGAGCACCCGTAGCTTCCTCAAAACACTTGAAGGTTGCTTCACCTAAGCCTCTGGGTTTTTGATATAACGAGTATATGATTACCCGATGTTTCGCTTTTCAGTGGTTTGTTTGGGGTTCCCACGAGACCGAAAGCCGGGCTTTGATGACTTAGGTGAAGCACATGTGCCTCCACACCGGCGATGCCGGAACCAATGCTGAGGCAGAGATGTGAGCCGCGAAAGCCAACGAGTTCGGGTCCAGACACGTGGCTTGCTTCCTAGGAGGGGGTTTCCTGTTGAAGTCAACTGAACATATACTTTTTCCCCGTGGCCGCGCAGGCGGTTTGAATTTAATTTGAAGGTAAGGGACAGGCCCAACCATAAATAGCACTTTGCTGCCAGGTTTTGATTATGAATATGGAACCCTTAGTGGACCCTATCAGACACGATATAGGTGTGTCCAAACATGGAGAGCCCTACAAACGGTTGGCGTTCCTTCAAAGCTCGCCTTTGAACATCATCCAAAAGGGTGAACCGTGTGGAATGTCCCTCCAAACAGAAATGGAATCCTCTCACGACTCCCAAAAACAAACCTGAACCACCCAGTTTGCCTCTCGAAGCCCGCATAAGGCATGTCAGTTTTGAAAACAAAACAACACATTGTCTTCCAGGGACCTCCCGGTTCCACGTTGAGAGGGTAGGCGTCATTTCTGGCTGCTTGGAAATTAATGGGTGTTTCCTCAGATCAGTCCCCTTTTTGTAGATATTGGCAGCGGAAAGCAAGAAAAACTACATTTTTGGAGGGGTGCCACTTTTTAGGGCGCACTCGTATTCCGTTTGCGTGAGTTTGGTTCAAATCAGTTCCTGCAGCAAAAGGGTCCAACTGCAAGGCTGCAAGACACTGTACTTTGGTTGTCTTACGTTCCACCTTTCGATCACCTTTTCACCTTTTGGAAACTGACGAACACTTGCCTGCCAGCCAAAGACCGATTTTTGTTTTTATGTCGGGGGGTCAGTTGAACCAACGTGCTGGATGATCCGGGAGAACTCGCTTAGTGGCTAGTAGTTTTCAATCAACCTCCAGTAAACCTCCAATGTACCACCTGTCAACCCCGTTTCAATGCTTTTTACTCGGGTTTTGCTCTTCCCCTCAGTCAAGCCCATCTTTGGACCTTTGAATCCGTGAGATTCCCGGACTCCGCCTTTGCCGCGCGCCAGGTGTGCGCGGCCACGCGCAAGAAGCTGGTGCTCTTTGCGCACAATGGCATGACCTTTGAGCAGAGACAGGCGCCGATTTGCATCGCCGCGTTCGTTTTGTCCTTAACCGCTGGGGCTGGGCCCGGCTGGTTTACCTGGTGTGGCCTCCCAGTCGTGCGGCCGCTGTTTGGGTCTTCCCCTTGTGGTGCCCAACAAGCAGCTTACAACAATCTCTCTTTTACACCTTTCACCGAACCATCCACATCATTTGGGTTGCAATTTGGTGTTCCGTCCAAGAAGCTGTTCACGGCTTTTATGTCTTTGCATCTTGTTTGTTTGCTGCCTTGGACCTGTGAGAATCCTCCAAAATCACAGGTCAGCCGTCAGCAACATGTCGAAGTCTCAAAACAAACTGATGGCGTTGATCTTCGCCATTCCGCAAAGATGCACGGGGTTGATCTCAGGTCTTTGTCCGAGGGTGCGCGTGACCTGATTTCTGGACTCCGGGCATAGTGGACGAGCGCTCCCGAAGCAGTGGGGTATCATCGAACTTGAGTTGTTTTGCCTTTGGGTTTGCCACAAGGCTCAGAGCATGTGCAAGACTTTTCTCTGTGTGGTCATTTCAGGAGAGTCTGCGCAGGTGAGCGGTGCAAAGCATGACTACATTGCGGGTGTGCATGACTGCACGTACAAGGTGTTCTCCACAGACTGGGGCCATGGAGAGAGTGTGCGCGAAAAGATTTGACCGACGCTAGTGCAAGTGGGCTTGGGCTTTGTCCCCAAGGAAGGGAAGGATCAAATGGTGACAGTGTCATGAAGCAATGGCACTCTTCGAAGAACCATGACTTGGCTCAGTTTCTTCACCAGGTTCACGCTGATGAGAGCTTGGGTGGTCAAAATGCTTTGCGGAAGGTGTTCGTCACGACTGCGTTCGTCTTAGATGCGTGACACCAGTTGGTATTTATCATGCGACGCGGTGTCTGCAAGAAAGAGGTGTGGGCCATGGTCGCGGCCAACATGCAGTTTGCCTTATCCGCTATGGGATTTTCGAAATCCCTTCTCCACCTTTACACGGAGTCCCTGCTGGCGAGGCAGAAATGGCTGATATGGTGGCGTATCTTCAGAAGGAGGTTCTTCAGAAGGTCCTTGTCGGAGGGAAAGAACTGTGGACAAGTGCCTGCTGCTGCCACGTGTCGCTACTTGAGACTCCTGTCAAGTCTCAGACCCACGAATCACATCAGCCGCAAGTGGCTCAACAGACAACAAATATCTTCTCATTCTATAGCTCTTCGACGCAAAAGCGGCGCATGAGCCATGGAGAAAACGTACGAAGACCGCTTTTCGCAACTATACCTTGTTCCATGGTCGAGCTGCGCGAAGCTTGTAGCACGAGAAGCGGGATTTTGCAAGCGCATCGATAGCTATGGAACGATATAGGCCCCCCGCCCGTCAGAAAAACACACACACATCGAAATCTCGTTGTTGATCAATCACGAGACGTCAGTCGCTCACGTGCCTTCCGGTTTGAGCACGGAGAGGGAGAAACGCTTGAAGCCAGCCAAGGCCAATCCCAGCCTTCCGCCACCATATCGCAATCGCTCGAAGTTTCCTGGCACCATACGCAAAACCTCTTGCCAGGCAATTGGCGCGAAACAGCTGAAGCTGAAAGGCATCGAGATCTCTAGCTGCCTTGTTAGCGGCGAAGCCATCTTCACCGACGGTTCAAGGTCCTAGATGATTATCAGATGAGGCTGCCCTGCGCACGCTTGCTGTGGCAAGCTTGCCCGAGCAACACGAAGACCTTCGAGCTCGACGTTGGTGAGGTTGAAGATGTTTGTCAAGCATGTGTGCTCCCTTGATGACGACGACATGACTGACTTTACCAAAAAAGCTCCGCAGCCCTCTTCCGTCCAGCTCTGCAAAAGGAAGTACGTGTACAGCCTCCATGCCAACCGCTGTGGTTGGAAGCGAATGGCGGAAATTTGCGCAGAAGTACAACATGAAGTGCAAGAGGACCGAGGCACAAGCCATCATGGAGACGACCCCACCCAAGGAACTGGCAATGATCCCCGCACGCTGGGTTTCGAAGCAATCAGGGACATGCTCGGGGCAAAAGATTCCCACAAGACTTTCGCAGCAACGCACCTTGCACCAAGCACGCCGTGACAAGTCCAAGAAGCTACGGATCATGGGTTCGCCTTGGCCCTCCGACGCTCGCACGGGCGGCAGAATCGCGTTCCTGTTCTTCGGCTCAGTCTAGCAGTCATCAAGGTGGCATCATATCAAACATTCGTCCAGAATGAAGCTAGAAACGGATATGCCACCTGTGTATATACATATACATATATATATATATATATTTAATGTAGGGATTTGTACCGAAATGCCCGAACCTGGAATTGTCGGGAACCACCCTGCAAAACTTACTGGGCACCCTGACCAAACTTCATACGGCTGAGATTACGGGAGCCCCGGAAAGTTACTGGACAACCTGACCCGGAAAGCGGGCGTCCGTGTCGGCCGCGGAAGCCATGAGTCGGACGGCGTGCCACGAAATAACAGCGAGCAGCGGCGCAAACTTATCAAAGTAAGGTCTCAGAGTCGGAATGCGACAGTGCGTGTCCGCTGGTGAAGGGCGGCGAACAACAGTGGACAGTGCAAACTTAGCAAAGTAAGGTCTCAGTGTTGACCGGCGACGGTCCGAAGAGACCAACTTAGAAAAGTAAGTTGCCAGTGTCGGAAAGCGAGTGTCCGTGTCGGCCGCGGAATATGAGGCTTGGTCAGCATATGCAGTAGTCCTGGCAATTTTTCCGTACTTTGAGATAGCTTCATGCCATGTGAGGTTTGTCCAGTATGTCCAGAGACACTGGTGGGGTTGCCCCTATTGTAAGACAACTCCACGCCATACGCGCTTTCGGCCATCTGGTGACATGGAGACGAGCTTTCAACTTCTCAGAAAACCCTGAAAACGCACAAAAGCTGTGCCGCATGTGGACTGCATCCACCCTGGGCTCTCCTCCGTTGCTATCATATTTTGAAGGTTCATTAAATATGTTTAGTGTTTTTGTTTCACATTTCAGGGTTGACTACATATGAATGTATTTTTCATGATTTAGGTTGGACCCAATATGAAGCGGAACCTGGGCATATCCCAGTGCTTCCAGTTGCCGCTATAGTAGGCAGCTTGGTGTGTTCTCCTCACGGTACAGGCTGGTTTCCCGGTACCGAGTAGCTTGGCACACATGCGGCGTGGTTTTTTGAGTACCCCAGATTCGGGAGAGCCGGGTCCCGCGCGCTAGGAGTTCCCGACCTCCGAGGCGGGCTTCCGAGCTTCGAGTGGGACCCGTTTCGGGTGAGTTGCTGGGGTCTCCGCACGGATTCGCGATATTTTGGGGTAGCTCAGTTGTTCAAGCTGTTGGGTTTGCCCTTGTTGGTCTAGTTTTTGCAAAGGTCCCAAAAGGCCAACCTTTCATTTCTGAGTCCTTTGGGCAACTGGCGAACAGAGTTAGAAAGTATGTTTGTTTGTGTACACATACCCAGATGTGGGCCACGGTTTCCACCCCAAACCTCTTTTCCAATGGGTGAACGGGGCGGAGCTTGCGCTGTTTCCGAGTCAGTTTTTTGGTTGTAAATGGCCAAGAAGTTGCATTTGTCCCTGAAGAAATCCAAAGGGGACAGTGTATGTCCCTTGCTGCACGCTATTTAGCTGGTTGAATTTATCACAGGTTCCACACCAGCGAGGTATACAACCATTTTAGGACTGCCACCGGAGGACCCCATCGAAAAGTAGTTTCACTCAGCAAGCACCCCAATTGCAACCATGGTGATAACTTACTATGGGTTGACCATCCAAGTTGGAGTGCGTGTTTCTTTGACGCGGGCGGGTCTCATCGACACATGCCGCCCCTTGGCTCAGCGACCCTGTGATGCAAAGACCACAGACACTCATGGCAGCTGCTTCGGTTCCCCCAAAAAATGGTGCCTTGGCGATCTTCGGACTTTAGCTTTTGGTAAGTTGCGATTTTCCCACTAAGCAGCACACAGATGCATGTTTTGGACAGGGGGCAAGAGCCACACCTAAAATGGGTGGGTTCCTTCTGGCTTTCCCAAGCACCCCCCAAAACGGGGCTACCCTGAAAAGACAAAAGGAGCTGGTGAGCCATGCGTCGGGTGGAGATTCCTCAGCCCCATGGCTCCGCGCGGGCTGCTTGGCTTAGGCGTTTTGACACGTCCCCAAATTGGAGAAGCCTCTCTGCAGCCAGGGATTTTGGACATGCGAAAAAGCTGTTGCTGGGGTGCTGGCTTGGATGGCTCTGGAATTTGAAGCGTGTGGACACGCATGCGCCACTTGCTCAAGATCCGGGTAAGTGATGGTTCGGTTGGGGGGGGGGAGTCTTGCCATAAATAGGTGCTGAGATCCGGCTACCATGGGTTTTTGGGTAGACCGCTTAAGTGACAGGTTCTGATTGTCACTTACATGAGCAACGATCAATATTCACCATCATTTGCTGCAAAGGGGATGGGCTTGGGAACACTCGGCAATGAAGTAGGGGTTTCTCACCAAAGTTCCCATGTCAATGTGGGACACAATCAGCAGTGGCCTGGCTCACATCAAATCATTCAAGGGTCCTTCTGTTTCCTCTTTTTGGATAATTCAGCCATCTCCTTTTGGCGGGATGTTTCAACGAGGCATAGAAGGAGCCCCAACAAGGTTTCGCCAACTTAGCAGGTCTCCTGCAGAGTTGCGTGATGATATCCACTGAAGTACCCCCTAGTCATACCTCCTTGCAAGAGAAGATTTCCCACGTAGACAGAAGGGCTATGAACCCATGTCGTATTGTTTAAGCATTTTTGACAAGCACGCGTGGGATGAGTGTCTGACCTCCCATCAATCGGAAGCTTCTCTCCAGACTTGCCGAGGTGCTTGGCAGGCTGAATGGTTTCCAGTTGCCACGTTCTATAGTTTCTCATAGATCAGACAAGAAGGCACTACGGGCACACGTGATGCGCACATCGTTCACATACTGATTCTTAAAGTTGATCGCTGATGAATGCCGCACTTAGTTATGCAAGGTATAGGAATCAAGAACCAATCTCTACTAAACAGGAGCTGAAAAGACCAACGAGGGACGGACAAATATGTTTATTCAATCATGTTGAGCAGTACACATTGTGGCTTGGAACCTCGATGCAAATGTGGATTCAGGGAACGAGCCTTTCTATTCGGCAATGGCCATCCCTGGGCAGTGAGACAGCCTGGCACGCCTATCGAGGGTTTCTGCCAGGGCAAGGGTCCAAGTTAGGCAGGTACGCTAGTCTGGCTTTTTCTTTTCTGGGGTCTCCTCCAAGACTATTTTATGCTTTGCGGAAGATCAAATATGGAACATTTGAGCATACCAGATGTGAGCCAGGTTTCTAGCCCTAAAGGGACCCTCTGCAAGGGTTGGGCCCACCTGATGAATCAACACCACCTCTTGGTTTGTGAAGATTTCGGGGGCCGAGGCCCAGAGTTTGGTTTGAGTTTGAACAATGTTCGCATCCTAGTTTGTACATTTGAGTGGTGTCAAAGTTTGTGTAACGTCGCATCAAGGGCGCAAAGGGTTGCTTCGATCTTCTCAAAAATGGGGCGCCAAAAGGAGAGCTCACAGCTGGAGCACTGGAGAGAAACTGTCAAGCTAATGGCAAGTGAACTGGCGTAATCATTATTCTAGGGTAGACTAAATATGAAGCAGTATCTGAACATACTATTTTGGGTGTAAGTGACGAAGGTTACTGGTTCACAAAGTTAGCAGACATAGGTGTGGTCGAAATATGAGCCGGTCGGATTCCTTACTATCGATTTTGGGTCAGGACTTCTTTATGAGACTTGGATTGTACGACTTTTTTCCCATTGGACGTTGCCACAGGTACACAAGGTGTTTCTATGTTTTTCTACATAGGGATGTCCCAAATATTTAGCAAGGTCTGCAATGAGCGTGTGTCAAAAACACGGGGACCCCCAATGTTGGCTGCCTTCCTTCTAGTTCCCCTTTACACCAAATTGCAGCGGTCACCTTCAAAAGCGCAAATCGCCAGAGCCCTGCTTTCTTGGAACTCGCTCAGGTCCTCGAAATCGCTGCAGACATGACTTTGGCAGATGAATCTGGGGTTTGCGTCTGGGATTCCGCGCTCTGCCTCGGGGAGATGTTGATCAAGCGTCAGCAACTTGGCTTATCAGGCCGTACTCTCCCCGGTCAGTTCATTTCCAGTCTATGGTACATTTGTGCCTATGGATGAGATCTCTAAATTGAACCATTGAAGCCACAACCAGATGGCGACTCACTCGGGGACCACTAAGTTTGACCGTTCCAAAAATAGTAGGTAACCAGGGTTCCTCACCTCTAGGTTACATTGATTACTACAGTGGCTAGTGGTAACTGGAAGCACTGGGAAACTGGTCGATGTGTCTTATGGACAACTAATGAGAAGCTATGGTCGGCCCACTCTGGTTTGTCTCAGGGATACCTCTGGTCCAAATTGGTTTGTCTACTCGTGTTTCATGCCCACCAGTGTTGCTTTGGTGATCGATCGAGCACATTGTTGGAAACATGCGCGCTTATTCTCAGCTTGTTCAGGGATCCCCCCAATGGCTCCGCAAACCAACAAGGGGTGATCAATTCTGGGTTCCCATTGCACTTGGTGAGCAACAATCACATAGAAGAAGGACACACAATTGGGGCCCACCCATTCTCGGAAAAATCTCCAAACGTGTGCCAACTGTACCTGTTGGTTGAACATGCAAACCGACTGTGACTCAGTTCCATTTTTGGTTACCCCAAGGTAGACTTACACACCTGCAGATTTCCACAGAAGGGCAACCTCTGCATTGCCACCGTCTTAACTTTTTGCCTTTTTGGGTTTCTTTCAATGTTTCCTTTCAACCGGTTCTTTTTCTTTTTCTCTTTTTTTTTTTTTTAACGGGGGTCTAAGTTGGTCCAGTAGACTCCTGTGAGTCACCAAATGGCAACCCCGGCCTCCTCGCACTCGCGAGGCTGGAGTTCGGGCCCACGGTGCTCGAGCTGGGCGCAGGCACAGGCTACGTGGGCCTCGTGGCGGCGGCGCTGGGGGGCCGCGTGTTGCTGACGGCCGCCTGTCACAAGTTGTCAGAATCCATTTTTGGGTTTCCACACATATGTCATGTGAAAAGGGTAGACGAAATATGCAACTGAGATAGAACATGCTATTTTCTGTGTGCTCCAGATGTGGACCACGAATTAGAAGCGCGTCTCAGACGTTTCGCCGTAGAAGTGTTGGCTGCGCCTGTTATGTAGATAATTTGGTGGTTCGCCTGCACGAGAGAGTTGTGTGAATTGAGCAACGCATCAATTCCTATCAAATAAGCCAAACGCCGATGTCTAGAGTAGGGTGAGTCACCGCAAATCCAAGGGTGTTTGCATTACACCCTTGGATTGCACCCCGGGAATGACCCAAAGCTTTCCCGCAAGTCGCAGGTCTTTTTTTGGGCACTGCACGGGGTAAATTCAGCAACAACCAAACACCCAAGAGACAATGGTTCAAACGCACCCCTTGTACATGGTTGTTTTGTTTGTACTGGATATGCTGCTTCAAAGCCATGGCAGCCTGCCGATCATTGGGGGGGGGGGGGGGGAATTTCCCTTACCACTTTTCAGAGGTAGACCAACAAAAGGATGTCACCACAATGACAGGAAGAACCAGCGAGGCCCATCACGGCTTCCTTTGAGGGTGGTAATTTTTAGATGGGACACGCCCAAGGTAGCGCCCTGAATGTGCGGGTCTCCTTTTCAAGCTATGAACGCCACGCTCATAATATGTTGAGGCGACTTTGTTCTTCCGTTGGAGTACACGGATAGGGCATGGCATGCGATTCTTCTCCAGTTGGGTCATGTGGGAATTGTGTTGCATGGGCCAGGCTTATGGGTAATGGTAAGTTCCGAAAGTGGGGACTTGGAAATCGGGTTCCCTGATAGTTTATTGGCGGAGTATCCCATGTTCAGACCGCTCGAGACCGGAGTTCCAACCTGCGAGGACCGTGCAGTGCTTGTGCCTTTGCTGAAGGCGAACATCGAGTCCAACCACTTGCAGGACCGGCATCAAATTTCATGTCAGAGAGTTCTCCATTCTCAGGGATCCTTCTCTTCCAAGAAAACCAACCCCCTTGTCTTCTAAAGAGAATTCAGGTGAGGTGAAGACGAGGAATCAACCCTTAGAGTCGCAAGGCCTGAATATATACCACTAACCTAGAAAAGGTGTACCCTACAGGGAGATTTCTCCAATGCAGGTCTTTGTTGTGTGTCAA